TTTTACAGGTTGGTATGTTGAGCGTAGTCAGGCATGGCCAAACTCAGCCCTCCAGATGTTTTGGGACTACAATTCCCATCATCCCTGACCACTGGTTCTGTTAGCTAGGGATGATGGGAGTTGTAGTCCCAAAACAGCTGGAGGGCCAAGTTTGGCCATGCTTGAGCACATTAATCTTCTTCTTTTGCATACTGGAAGGTGTGTTGGGTGCTGGACATGCAAATAGGTGGGCGCAGTTAGACTGGACTTTGTTACTTATCAGCATAGCTCAGTTGGTTAGAGTGCGGTGCTGAGAATGCCAATGTCACAGGTTCGATCCACGTATGGATAACTGCATATTCCTGCATTGCAGGGGGTTGGACTAGATGATCCACAGGGTCCCTTACAACTCTACAATTCTATGATTTATGTCCCTCACCCTTCCTCCCCAAGGAGCCCAGGGCAGCAAACAGACCTGCAATTTTTTTTAAAAAAGCAAAGCAAAACCAGTTAAAACCAATTACAGTAAAAGCTGTTCTTCCACCCTATGATCATGGGTTTGCCAAGAACAGTATTCTTTGGTCATCAAATGCCTGGGCAAACAGGCATATTTTCAGATTCCTCCTGAAAGTTAATAATGACAAAGACAGAGAATAGAGGCCTTTTGTGGACTATTAAAAATGTATATATGTTTAACAGTCAAATGAAATTACTGGCAGGATTTGAGATAAAAGCGGGGGGGGGGGAGTAAAACAATTGTAATAGAGAATTTCTTAATGATAGTAGAAAGAGTTTGAATAAGAACACTGTGGAGACGAAGGTGGGAAGTCAACTTATGAAAAAATGTATTTGATTTGAAGGTTATTGTGCAAACAGTTGAAAAAAAATATTTACACACATAATGATGATGATGATGGAGACAGGTGGACCTCACAAGGGAGGGCATTCCAGAGACATCTCTCCCAAATTCCCGCCACATCTTGTGGGCTGGTCCTGTAATAATTTCCTTGTTTTACCTGTTCACTGTTAGTTAAAACAGATTAAAACATTTGCAATGTTCCTTTGCCAGGCAAAGATGCCTCCAGAGCTTTTGCGTCGGGCGACTTCACCCCAGCAGGACTGGTGGATGACATTTCGGGACTATCGCCGTTACAAATGCTGGCCATCCAGAACTGGCTCTCCTTCTACAGCAAGAATTATGTGCTTATTGGTATGTGATCAATTGGCAGCATTGAGGGAATCACCAGCCCCATTTTGGTTCCTCTCCTGTCTATAACCATTCTAACAGTAGCAGCAACATGTGTGTCAGAGTGAACGGCAGTGTGCGTGTGAGGTGGATTAAGACCATTATCATTATTTTAAATATTTTTCCTTCCCTGTTCATAAAATGCACGGGCAAATAAATGCATCAAGTGGAGGTTCCTCCATGTCTGTAAAAATAAGGAAATCATGTGATACAGCCGAAAAAGAATTATTTTTGCATTGGACCAGGCTCAGCTGAAACTTGTGTGTCAGTTTCTCAAGTATTATTATTACTTATTAAACTTATTATTGGAGACCCAAAGGGGTCTCCAAGTGACTTACATTGGGAAGAAAAATACAGAAATACATTGCAGTGGTGTCCAAACTTTTTTCAAAGAGGGCCAGATTTGATGAAGTGAAGGGCCGTAAGGGCTGACCAAAGTTGTTGAGTTTTTTTTAGGGTTGAAGTTGTTGAGGTTTTTTAGGATTTTACCTCAGGAAATAAACTGCCACAGAGGCCCCGAAACGGACTTTGAACATGCATGCATTATAGCATAGAATAGGGGGTGGGAATCATATTGATCACATTAATATTCCATACAACTTATTTTCTGGAGGCAGAACTTGCTTGCTACATTACTATTATTAGTAGTAGTAGTAGTACCAGGTGCCTATTGTTACTTCACAAAAGTCCCGCCAGGCCTGTGCCACCAACACTGATATTAAATATTGTAAATATCACTGATGAATGATAATTAATTGAGCTGTGACTGTACCCTAACGGGCAACAAGTTGGGGTCTGAAACCCTCTTTAATGTGGGGTATTCAGGATAGCAGATACGCCCCTTGGGCCTTCAAGTTGCCTCTTCTCCCAGGCCTTTAGCTAATTAAACAGTCTACGGCCTTTTAAACTGTGTGTGTGGGGGGGGTTATTGTTTTTGTTTGTTTCCTACAGTGTGTATTTTTGTGCTTCTATCTTGTAGACCACCCTGTGGTCCTTGGATGAATGACAGTATAGAAATTTAATAAACAAATAGCCACTCCACACGTTTAAAGCACTATGATTTCTGCTTTAAACAATCACTGCTTCCTCCCAGAGGATCCTGGGAGTTGTAGTCTGTTAAGGGTTCTGAGAGTTGTTAGGAGAGACCCCCCCCTCCCAAACAAGACTGCAGTCCCCAGAGTTTCCTGGGAAGAGGAACTGACTGTTAAACCACTCTAAAAATGGTAGCTCTGTGAGGAAAAATGGGTGGGTGGGTGTTTCTCCTAGCACTTCTTGACACATTTAACAAACTACAGCTCCCAGAATTCTATTGGGGGGGGGAGGAAGCTGCGACTGCTAAAATGGGATAAGAGTATTTTAAATGCATGCTGTGGATGTGGCCTAGATGGTGGAACCTTCTGCGCTTGGATTTCATATAATCATAGAATTGTAGAGGTGGCAGGGACCACGAGGACCATCTGCAATGCAGGAATCTTTTGAATTGGAAGATCTGTTATGACCCCTGGCAAGGGGAAGGACTGTGAGTTGGGGGAGAGGCTGGTGAGTTGCGTTGATGGAGCTGCTTTATGGAGGAGCGCGGGATGATGGTGTTTTCTTTCCGTTCTTGGAATAGGCAAAGTGGCTGGGAGGTTCTATGATGAGGATGGATCACCCACTGAGGCTCTAGCGCAGGCCCAAGCTCTCATCGAGGAAGGCCAGCGGCTGCAGACCCGGGAGAACGAGAGAAAAAAGCAGTTTCCGCCGTGCAATTCGGAATGGAGCTCGACCGGGGGAAGTCGGGTCTGGTGTTCAAAGCAGAGGTACAGTTTGGGAAGGGTGGCAAAATGGCGGCTAGCCGAGTCTGTGGTGACTCACCACAGAGACGTAGTTCTGGGACCTAGAAAATGTTTTGTTTTTAGATACATACATTCATACATACACGTAACGTAACAAAATATAACAGCCAAATCAAAAGGGGATATCTAGAACTGAACATAGCAGGACAAATATCCATACCAAAATCAAGCATAACAGATCAATATTACAATGTTCCAAGTATCATAAATGGATTTACATTATCCCAGATTTTATTGCTGGATTACATTATAAACAGACCGCTTCTCCATTTCTTGATGTCCATCTTTCTCTGGTTTTGACCATATATGTAGGCTTTAACCATGCATACTAAGTTCCACATTTTAGTTGTCCATTCTTTAATGGATGTTGTCATTTTCCCTCCAATTTTGACAAATAACAACTCTGGCAGCAGTCAAGAGATGTAGTATTAATTCCCTGTCCTCTTTTAGTACAGTTTCTTTAATGTATCCAAATGGTAGCAGATCTGTAGTCAAGTATAACCTGTTATTACTTCCATTTTTGTTTCTATGTGGTTTCAATTTTTTTATAGTTAATTTACTCTTCAACTATTATGTTTTTAGCTTTCTGTGTATTTTATCCGTACTTGCTTGAATTTTGGTGAGCTGCCTTGAGTCTCGTTTCTGGGGAAAAGGCAAAATAAATAAGTAATTTGCTGCTCCCGTGTATTTGCAGCGGTGGAGTTAACAGAGACTGGAACGGAGTCCCGAGGAAGCTGTACGAGCCCGGCTCCAGTCACAGCCAGTGCGTCTGCGTGAATACAGAGGGATTGCCTTCTGAGCAGTCACAGTCCACCCAGATGAGTGACAGAGGTGACCTGGACAACCCTAACCTGCGAGAGTATGAAGGGTGCCACCCGCTGGCTGACTGGTGTGCTTTAAAAGACTGAACCATCTTTCTCTCCTCTTTCTCTCTCACACACCCATACACATACCTTACTTGTGCTTGGGCACGACGTTTGCAAATTATCAGCAAAACAGAATTCAGTATTGTACTCCAAAATGGCTTTGTAAACTGTGGTTTGGTGAAACTGCGGCTATTACTGTGTCTGCTGAAACTGCTGCTGAATGTTGAGCAGGAAAGCGGCTCTAAACCAGTGTCTGCTTGGTGAGACGATGAAGTCTTGGTGCAAGTTCTAACCCCACACAGAGATTTCCCCCTTCTTCCCCCACCCCCAACCTCTTTAGCAAAATTTAACTGCTCATCTCTAATGATTTGAACCACTATCGAGCAGATAGTTTAGGGAAGTTTTTAATATTTAATGCTGTATTGTTTTTAACACTGGATTCGGAATGCCGCCCAGAAGTGGCTGGGGGAAACTCAGGCAGATGGGCGGGGTTATAAATATAACATTATTATTATAAAATTATTACAGAGCTTTCGATAAGCCCACTCTTTCCTTGCAGGGAGCCATAATCGTATATCACGATAAACTTGGTTCTGTGTTACAATACCACTCGTTTTAGAATCCTGATAGCTAGATGGTAGGTGCGAGTCTTCCCAGTCCTGTGGCGCATGCAGTGCAGATCAATTAGTTTTTCTAGACGCTCCGAAGACTCATAAGGGAAATTTGCGCCTGGGCCATGCAGCTGCAGATCGGAGCATGTGCCAACCTTCGGGAGCTCGGCACGGCTTCATGCCAGGCTCCGGAGGGTTGCGCACAGCTTCCTGAAGCCTGGAGAGCAAGAGGGGTCGGTGCGCACCGACCCCTCTCGCTCTCCAGGCTTCAGCGAAAGCCTGTATTCGCCCCATAGGACGCACACACATTTCCCCTTCATTTTTGGAGGGGAAAAAGTGCGTCCTATAGGGCGAAAAATACGGTACTTTTTAACCTCACACAAAAATAAGCAACCTACAGCACTATTAAATCCTTCCACCAGGTGGCATTTCTGCAACTAATGAACACACGCACACCATCAAATTCAATTAGGTTTCTTTATTACAAGAAATTACACAGGCATATAAATATTGAAAAAATACATCGCTTTACAAAGACTTGAGGAAACGTTGCAAAGTAATAATAAGAACCAGTGATTTCCCAAAGACTCAGATCCTTTCTTAGCCAGCCCATCCAGGCCCATTACCTTCACATGCAAAAGGTGTTGGTTTACTGCAGTAACTCCAGGCAGCTTCCAGGAGGGACAAGGAGACTATAGAAGTGTCCATTCTAGAGTTGAGGGCTCTCAGTTCTCAGGACAGCAGTTGCAGTGGTCAGCTAACCTGTGGTGTGGGTAGGGGTGCTGTACCACTTCAGACAGATTTGGGCTTGTATGATAAGACTGCTGACCTATATACGAAAGAAAAATAAATTAACCTCCCTGCCTTTCTTTTGTATATGAAGGAGCATTCCCTTGCCTGCTCTCTGAAGTGAGTTCAGCAGACTGGTGTAAAACCTCAACTGCCGTTTGTATGGTGGTCAGAGGAAGGAAGATTCCTCAATGTTCAGTTCGAAATGCATGCCCATTGCACAGGCAACACTATTGCATTCTCTTACCCCTTTTTCCAAGACAAAAACTAGTCCTTGATTAATGCCCTGCCAAATAAAGCAACTTGCTAGACAACAAAAATGTTAAGTTAGACCAAATCTCTACTCGTGAGATAGGTTTTGGAGAAGCGATGTTTTGGATGGGTGGGTATCCTGAGCAGCAGCCCTTTGGATTTTCTGCCTTCTAAAAAAGAAAACAAGGTGTGATCCCTGCTGGTTAATGGTCAAGAGGCCAGCCTCATGACTGAGCATGGCTGGGTTTGCCAAACAAGCACATTTTATTGGAATGTGGCAATTCATGACGATACAGGCAGCATCTAAGGCCCCATGAGCCTGGTTTGACCCAGACTCACATCAGGCCTGTAGGAAGGACACAGCCCACCAGCTATCAGGAGCAGAGTGAACTTCCTGTCGTTGCTCATTTTCCTTGTGCAAAAAACCTGGGAAGAGAGAGAATGCGTTTGGCCTAGTCGATGATGAGCTTTGCAGGATGAAAGCAGAGGAGTTCACAGAGACCTTCTAGAAGAAAGGAATGGTGGTTTGTTGCCCAAAACCGGGCCTCTTCCCCACCTCCCCACCCCCCAATAGAAAGCCAGGGAGCACAGCAGCTGCAGCCAAGGGACTTTGACAGAGTATCATCTTGTGTTGGTGACATCTCAGTCATCTTTCAGCAACGTTAGTTGAGTTACTTTACAAAAAGGCAAGTTCCCCATGATCAGGCACCGGGCAACGGCTTCTACTGTTGCAGATTTTATTTTTTAAAGACAACTTGGAAGGGTACTGACCAAAAGTGAAGGGTTTCCCTTCTACTGAGTTCACAGTGCAAGTCACATTCAACACCTCTGCCTAAAATGCAGAACAGAAAGGAAAGGAGGACAGGGAAAACAGCTGTGGGCTGATGTTGGGTACACGGAGCTAAGAACAGGCATTCTGCATCCTCAATGCACACACTCCCCAACTCTGCTTTGGTCACTATGGATTGCTTTGGAAGGAGTTTGGATTTCCTGCATCCTGCATTTTGCCTTCTCGAGATGGGAAGCTAAAAAGCCTTGTAGGTCTGAAAAATCAGCAAGTCATGTTTGCCCTGAAAAGGTCTAACAAAGAGGCAGCTATCACCAGAACACCAGAAGTGTTTCTGGAGTGCCAGCCCCCCAAACCGTGCAGATACCCTCGAGTTTCAAACACCTGCTCTAGCTGGGGGATTGGCATAGACTAAAGGAAGTCCACTGCTGGAAGTCGATTTGGAACTCTCCTAGAACTCCTCAGCCCCAGCTGTATACAATCCTCACATTTTTGTTAATGCATCTTCAGAACACAAAACAGACATTTAACAGGGATCATGTTTTTAAGTCCCAAGACAGGGAGTAACAGGCAGCCAGTAAGCCTTCCACAAGAACGGGTAATAAAAGTTCACCTCACTTGTCGAACTGGGAAATACAGATCAGAATTTCAAACTCAGAAGCCCCAGCAAAAAATTTTGGGTTCCATTTCACAGCAAGTCAACTGATCAAATGACAGTGCAAGCTACAGCAGAATGAGATTTGGTGGACGTTGGAATCCTCTCTGAAGATCCATTTCTCTCCTTGCAAGGGAGTTTGAAACAAGGAGGCTTAGGCTAGGAGAACTAATTCCTGCTGCAGCCTCTTCCAGCCAATTCACAGGCTATGGTGGATTTCTCCCCTGGTAACACAATCTTCAGGCCAGTCATGCAGACTCAGGCTTAAAAACTTTTATTAAAAGTGCTTTACAGTGATTAGTTTTGTGCAACCCGACGAAGTCCACCTAGAACCCCAAAATGCACTGCCTTCCTGGAAACACCCCCATTCTCAGTTTCCAGGCTCTGTGGGGCTGTGTGCACAGGCAGCTTTTGCAGTGGATCATTTGCTCAAATGCTAACAACCCAGAAGGGGCGCTACTCTGCTTTTTTGGGTTAGTCACACACATGATGCCAGTTCAGAGAAATGCCTGTGAATCTAGAAAGGGAAACTTTTAAGAGAGGATCGGATTCATGGTGCATGACCGAGCTCCATCACCAGCACCTGTGCAGTGTTAAACTGGCCTTGAAGTGACCACCTGACGTGTCAAGAGACCGTTCCCAGGTGAAATGCTACTGTCCCACTGCTGCTTTTTCCCTCCCCGGCGCTCCTCTGGAACAAGCCTTTTGTGAAAAAGTCACCCCTTCCTAAATGACTTATTCCTCAGGGGCAGAGAGACAAAGGCAGGTCAAGAAGGTGTTGAGACAGATTATTTTGGAGCAGAGGACTGGGGGCAGGAAGAGAAGAGCAGAGACGAGCAGGAATTCTCCCCACAAAGTGATGGTGCGGAAAACACAGTAAACCCACACATAACTGAAGAGGATTGGAGTTCCAGTTCTTCCCCTGACAGAGGTCAGAAGGGCTAACCCCACTTGAAATGTATGGTTTTTAGCATCAGTCTTCAGAGATTCCCCCCACCCAAGTTGTCTTTTACTGCACATAGCCCAGGATTTTACTGAACATATAAAGCTGTTATTATCCTATAAAAAAGTAGCACTGTGGTTTTTCAGGTCTTTTTACACACGAACATATGTAAGTAGGGGATGACACATTAGTATTCTAGAAGGGGGGGGCAGAGGGGAAGAAAGAAAATGAGATCTGGCGTTATAAATGATATTTTCCTCTCCCCCTTATATATATATATATGTACACAGAATGAAAAAGTAGTAGTGGTTACTAAGGTTAAGAGACACACATCCCAACCGATTCGTTCTGGAGCAGCGACAGAAGACTTTGCCACGTCCACCTCCCAGGACTTTGTTGTGTTTCTAAGAAGGCAAAGAGCTTTACGTCGGAGCACGTGGGGCGTCTTCTTGCTTGCTGTATCAGAGTCGCACCCAAACAGCCTCTTCAGCGTCAGGGCCTGCTTTCGCAGGGACCCCCTTGTGCTCCTTTGGAAGAAGCGGACCCAATGGACAAAGTTAGCCGTCGTGGAGAAAATGTGTGTGTGTGTGTGTGTGTGTAAAAAAAGAAAACCAGTTAAGGCCAGGTGATACTGGCCTAGCATTGGAGCTGCAGTGATCTTGGCGAGCGCAGCTTGGATGCAGAGCTCCTCAAGAGGGCCAAGTCACTAACAGCATCTTAAACGGAGAAGGCCTCAGGGAAAAAACCACGACAGCTGGGAACTCTGGGTGGTCAGCAGAGGTGCAGCTAGGACACGGCTGCCTTTGCGATCAGCTCCCACTGGATCATCACCCTCACATCAGGCTCTGTGCCACCGTCACCCCTGCCTTGTCCCACCCTGTCCATCAAAGCAACTAGCCGAATCCAGATGCTCTGTGCTAGCTCCTACACTGTGTTCCCCAACGCTGAGCTAGTCCAAACCGCTGGACCTTCCTTCCAACATCGCTGTAAACCAGCCTTTGCCCAGCTGCTGCCCTTCGGATGATCTGGACTTGCGTTGTCTGGGGCTGATGGGAGCCCAGAACATCTGGCGGGCACCAGCTTGGCAAAAACTGCTGTAAACATATGACTATTTGCAAAGTTATCGATATGTGCTGAAAGGGCCAGCCAGCAGCTTTTCCTCCCTTCCAGGAGCCTTTAATTTGGTAACGAAGCTCACTTTCTCTTTCTGTCTGTCCTCCTCCTCCTCCTCCTGCCTATTTTTTAATTTTTATTTTTAACATGGAAGAGAGCAGATTGGGAAGGGAAGATATCGACGTTCTGACAGCATGGGAGCTGCCGTTGCAGCTCCTGTTCAAGCAGGAGAAACTGTAAAGCTTCTGTCGTAAGGCCACACAAAGGAATTCTTCAGCAAATGCATTTAAACGACAAAACCCTGTTTTGAAGACAGCAGCTTCTTCTGGGAGGGAACACTCACTGTGCATAGCACAGTTGCCCATTTTAGGACAAAAGCCAGCGAGGGAACCAGAACCTTCTCTCCAGGAAGGTAACAAGAGGGGCTGGTCATCACACAGAGTTACCCAGGAATTTGTTAAGTGCTCACAATATTCAAACACCCACCCCTCCCGCACCCCACAATGTGATTGGGCTTCGAAGCAGCCCTGCTCACAGCTCGGCAGCCATTTGCACAGGCCTGCTATGTTACATGATCCACAAATGCAAAATTTTCATTTTCTCTGCCCCGCGCCAGAGTAAGGAGAGGGCCTCTCACTCAGTTCACATTTGTTCTCGCACCAACTTTGCAAGAGTTCCAAGTTGTTCCCGATCCAGTTTTCTAGCGTTAACATTCGTACAAAACCCATTTATACTGGAATATAGTGTTTGCGTGGTCCCTTAAGTCAATCAGTTTCGGCCGTTAACAGGAAGACAAAATAGGTGCCCCCCCCCCCGCACACTGCAACCCACATCCCTGCGATAGGCGGTTTGCAAGGAGGAAGGAGGGGCGTGGCCCTGGAGTCACTCTCCTTTGCGTAGGGGAACTAGGAAACTCCGCCCAGAGTCAAGACGTCAAAGCAGATGTTGCAGACCCGGACAGGCTTGTTCAAGTCGAATTTGATGATGGGGATCTCCTTGGTTGAGCACTTGTGGCAGAGAAGGCGCCCGCAGTGCCGGCTGCAAGAGAAGAAAGAAAATTTCAGCCGTGCTCTTTTCTGCCTAGCTGTGCTTAACAAGAAGCTCTCCTTTGCTTCCCAGTTTCCGAGGAAGTTTAGAGAGGGGGGGTGTTGCTGCACCTTCAGGGGATCGTACCCCTTTGCCACCATTTATCAGGTGCTTGCTCTGAAAGCTGGCACTGTGTCCTGAGCCCCACCTAGCAGATAGACCACCTGCCTGGACCCAAGATGACACAGTGCCAAAAGGAGCCGTTTCTCTGAAGGGGAGGCCTCCTGCTGATTCATAAAGCAGCTTGTAACTGGAGATGGGAACTGGGCTGCCCAGAATTAAAAAGTCTGCGGTACCTTCATCGAAAGCAGCTCTTCAGCTAATTACAGTGCTATCAACAGGGATGGGGGAACCTGGTGACTTCCAATTCCCATCTGCCCTAGCCAGCATGGCCAACAGAGACCATGAGAGTTGTAGCCCAACAGCATCATCATGGCCACAAGCCCCCCACCCTTGGCTTACCAAATTCCAAGAGGAGCAGAAAGGAGGGAAGAGCCTGTAAGAGCTCCAAGAACTCTCATTCCTTGGCCTTCCAACCTGCTTCAAGCACTTTGGTGGTGGTCCAAACCAGGATTAAAAGTTATAGAGTTAAGCTGCCAGGTAGGACATGCCCCAAATGGTCCATATTGAAAACACTCCCCCACTGCGTGCAGAGCTAGGATGATGGGGGGGGGGGAAACTATGGGGTGGATCCTGTGTTTTGAACCACAACCAAAGGCACACGATCTTCATGTTTCTGTGCACAAGATCGCTAAAGCAAGCACGCTACTGTCTCATGCTGCATAGACTGCAGTGCTTCAGTGAAGAACTCTTTGTCCTGTCCACACTGCCCATGCCCTGCCCTTGCACAGGAGGTCTGTGCTGAAACCTCTCCCAATGGGCTTCACTGCCTCTCCTCCCCTTCCCCCTGGCCCAGTATAGAAAGAGGTGAGAGGCGTCTTTTCACCTCCTCTGGAGGGAACTATGCCTTCAGCCCAGGCAGCTTTCCAAGGGTGGCGGCAGGTTCTGAGCAGAGCTACCTACGAAACAAATCAAAGCTGCGTCCAAGTGGTGGATCAATCCGAAAAGGCCGCCCCTTACCAGTGATGCTTCCTTGTCGTGACCCCAAACTTGGCGCTGCATTCGTAGCAATTGGAGCCGTCGCACCAGGGGGGTTCTTTGGACAGCATGTCTGCGCAAGAAAGAATTAAATGCAAGAGGCTCCTCGCCAGCCTTTGCCACCGTGGCTTGTGACCTACCCAAGCCCTGAATTCAGCCGCGTGTACGGCTGCCTGCCCGACACACTAGACATTTCACCCTCCACATCTCACCCCATTTGTGCAGCCCCCTCAAGGGCTTGAGAACTGATCGTGCCTTCTGCTTGCCTGGGCGGAGAGGACAGAGAAGGGGGTGTGTGGAAACTAGTTTATGGGGCAGAGGGAAAACTTGTATTTGTTGTCTCCCTCACTTTTGCCTCTGCCCATGCCCACCCCTGGCATGTGGCCCCTGTAAGGTTGCCCTCTTTCAAATAATTTCACTAGTAGATCATCCCACTAGTAGAGATTTAGTCTAACTTAACGTGGCCCTCAGACTGAGGCGGCTTCCTGCCTCTCCCTCCCTGCAAGCTTCGCCTAAAAGGCCTCCTTCTCTATGCACAGCCCACCTGCTGCATGACAGCAGGACTCAAGGGCACTTACCCAGCAGCCGGAAGAGAAGCTGTTTGGTTGCAACTTGATAGTTGAAGATGTTGACGCCTTGGTTGTTGTTGACGCCCAGGCGAGCGCCGGCTCTCACAATGGCCCGGCACAAGTTGGCGTTTCCCTTCATGTAGGCCAAGAGAAGCACTGGGAAGAGGGGGGGGGGAGAGATTTCATTGTCTGTGTCTCTGCTTAGCCAGTCCCTGAACTGCCAATTGTCCTGCACCCAGGCAAGCAAAATTCCACAGGAAGCGCCAGGAGCAGGCAGGTTGGCAATAAATCACATGGTGTCAGTGAAGTTAACTCAGGAGGCTAGGCAACTCTTCACAGGAGGCACAGCAACTCTTCCCAGCAGGTCTTGCCCCAATGAGACAGTTGTGAGGACTCAAGGCTCAAGGCTCCCACCACTCTCTAAGGCTCCTCCCCTTCTAGGTCCTTCCCTTGAAACCTGAGACTTCTTCACCTCTGCCCTCTTCATCCCTCTTCTGGTTCTGGGAGATCAAGTGGGATGGAACTGGTCGCAGCAGGAGGGGGAGACCTCCTGGCTTCTTCTGCAGCCTGCTTCATCTCTGCCTCTTCTCTCTTCCCCCACCCCCAGCTTCCGCTTCTGGACTGCTCTCTGCCACAGCCTCTCCCTGCTCACTAAGCCCTGTTGCCTCTTCAGCTTCCAACACCACCTCCTCCCTGTCTGTTCTCCTCTTCTCCCTCTGACCACTCATCATGGTTCCAACACCAAACCCCTGACTCTGGGCCTTCTCCGCTTGGGGACTCCTTCCACTACTCCTCTGCATCCAGCTAGTCCAGGACAGCAAGACACATGCAAAAGGACTTTGAGAGGCTACTTCGATGATGGCAGTTGCATGGCCTTTTTAGCCAAATCTATTGGCCGAGGCTTACCGGTGTTCCCTTCAGCGTCTGGCTTGTCGAGAGGATACTCTGGCATACATTCCAGGAAGAGGTCAAAGATGGCTGCCGCATTGTCCTTCCCGTATTGCCCCAGGATGTGCATCGGGGACTGACCCCTGACAAGGAGACGGAGACGACGTCATGCAGGACAAAAGCCACGGCGCAGACCCAAACCACTCACACATGAAAACAAAGTTCAACACAGCCAATCACAAATGAACAACCACACCCTAGGCCAACCCCAACCTCTCTCACCACCAAAGGAACACAAGTGAACAGCAAAGAACCTACACAAGCAACGCTGACACCAAACCCTACATATAGTAAGCAAAATAGAAACATCACCACCCGACCCCACCCTGACTCATCTTTCCCCTCCACCTCTCTCCCCCTTTTCTTCCCAATGTCTCAACAAATGAAGGTGACTTGTAAAAATGTTACAGGGGGGGAAATGTACAAGAGAGACACTTTTGAAAATCAAGAAAATCTTTAATAATAATAATAATAATAATAATAATAATAATAATAATAATAAAAAGAGCCACGGCGCAGGGCAAGAAGTCCTCTGCTCCCCACAGCAGGGTTACGTTTTTGTGGTGGTACTTTTTGAGCAAAAGGGGAGCTTTCTAAACCTCCTATGGCCCACTGCTAGTGCTTGCCGTTGCAACGAAATAAATATTTACGAAGCTGGGTCCAAGTCCTGCTCCAAGAGAAGACCAGGAGAGGGAACGGAACATCCTGCCAATACTGTACTGCAAAATTACCAAGGAATCCAATCCATTTGCACAGCCCTTCCCCTGAATGAAGCAAGCGGGGGGGGGGGGAGAGAGAAGCCCGCCCCCCCACTACTGAATGAGAGAAAAAATAGTACAGAGATGCTCAGTCCCTTTTCCCAGCAAAGGCGGCTGTTACATTTACCTGAGGTTAAAAGCTTCTGCGTCCACAGTGCACTCTGTCAGGAGGGCCCGGATGTTAGTCAGACGTCCCTGCATCACTGCCAGGTGCAGGGCTGAGAAGGGAGAGAGATGGAATGCATGAATCAAAGGGAAAAGGGAAGATCTGTAGCCACCTCTCCATGCCACTTAAAACCAAAGGCTGCATTCAAATCATGCAAAAATAAAAATAAAAATCAGGTTGCATTAAGCCAGATTTCCATCTGTGCAAGAATTTCACCTTGCGCAATGGAATGTTCCCCCACCCACATGCTCCCCTCCCAATCTGTTCTAGAGGTTCCCTGAACGCTCCAGAGCAGATCTGAGGGGCACATGGTTAGAGAGGTGTAAATCCCTCCTTGCGCTGGCAGGACAGGTTAGTTTAATACTGTCCATAGTTTTTTGTTTGTTTGTTTTGCTTTTTTTACAAGGAATCATTTTAAAGAGAGGACTCTACACAAAAAGAGTCCAGCAGGAATAGTGCAACCTGTATGCATTTTACAGATTAGCATGATATTCGTTTTGCATTGCATAGTTTCTTCTGCACTGTGCCCTACTTGCATTTATTTAGCTGTGAATCCTGCACTGCAGGACTCCGTGACCCTTTGGGTCCCTTCCAACTCTACAGTTTTTTACGATCCTATGGCTTATCCTCACTTCTGCTCCTTATGGGTACTCCTGGCCACCTTCTCAGATTTCAGCAAGCACAGAGCACCTTCCCGTTTCCAGCATCCCTCCACAAGCTTGGCAGCTAGAAACTTGGCAGTTCCTCTTTATAACGAAAGCTAAAATACAGTGGTACCTCGGGTTAAGTACTTAATTTGTTCCGGAGGTCCATTCTTAACCTGAAACTGTTCTTAACCTGAAGCACCACTTTAGCTAATGGGGCCTCCTGCTGCCGCCGTACCGCCGGAGCATGATTTCTGTTCTCATCCTGAAGCAAAGTACTTAACCCGAGGTAATAGTTCTGGGTTAGCGGAGTCTGTAACCTGAAGCGTATGTAACCTGAAGCATATAACCCAAGGTACCACTGTAATAAGGAAACAGTTCTGAAGCCGATGCCATTTGCTATAGATGCCCCTGCACAAATGCAGCAGACACAACACGGACAATGAAGCAGCTAGCCTCCAGGCTCCAGCTCCCATCAGCCCCAGTCAGAACAGGATGGCAGGAGTCACAGTCCAACAACACCTGGAGAGCCCCATCCCTACTCTGGGCCCTGCTGAGGGAGGCCTGGCTGGAAATAACACTATAGTGCCACCACAAACGCTGCTCCCAGCCTCAAAAGAATCCTGAACGGGATCTGCAACAGTACCAAGGTGTTTGTTCTGGCTCAGGAAATCCTTTCCCTACAACAGCTAGGAGGAAGAGGGAGGAGCAAGCTGGAGCTAATGATTTGGCCAGGAAACAAGCAAAGAAGGATCAAATCCACCCATCTTTGGACATCAAAAGCAGAGTTTACCGTTGTTCCCGTTTTCATCCACAGCTGCAAAGTCCACTCCGTTCTCCAGGAGAACCGAGCAAATGGTGGGAAGGTCTTGCTGGGCAGCGAGATGGAGGGCTGTCTGGCGGTGCTTGTTCAGCTCGTTGACTTTGGCGCCCGCAAGCAGCTGTTGCGAGGAGAACACAAAGAAGGAGGAGTTTCTCAGGGTCTAATCTAGTGGATTATATATGGCAGCCACCTATAGGCCTGTTGAAAATGTAACTCCTGTCCTCAAACAGCTGCTACACCGGTTGACAGTTACCTCCTGGGACCTTTTTACAGAAGTTCCTAGGACAATCGGATTCATTTCATTCTTCCTTACACCCCTGCCCCAGCCATAATGAAAATGGCAGATTTCAGACGCCACCTTCCACAACACGTACCAGGTTACGCACAATGATTTCAGAGCCAGCCTGCACGGCAAGATGCAACGGAGTTAGCTTGGAGGCGTCCTGGACCCTGGAATTGACGTTTGCCTGGACACTGATCAAGAAGAGCACGCTCTCAATATCGGAACTCTGAACGGCCACGTGGAGGAAGTTCCGGCCTTTGTTGTCCACCTATGGCAGTGGCAAAACCATCATTAGTCACGTTTGTGAATTTCAACACATCTGCTTAGAATGAAACCTAGTTGAACACCACCCCTGGTTTCTGACACACCCTGAGACATGTTTTCTAGTTTGAAAATTTGCCAGTCACTACCCTGTTCCTTGTGGGTGTCGTACAGATTTCTCCTTGCCAGGAGAGCAACAGAAATCAAAGACTGGGATTTCTTAGGCATTTGACTGATGCAGTGTGTTTTAGGTTGGTTGCTTACACACACAAACACACACACACACACACACACACACACACACACGGCTCTCAACAAGAACTGCAAAATACCAATTGGTCAGTGGGTTGATTTGAAAGATTTGTCATAGAATCAGAGTTGGAAGGTACCCAAGGGTCATCTAGTCCAACACTCTGCAATGCAGGAATTTCAGCTAAGGCATCCCTGACAGATGGCCATTGAACCTCTGCTAAAAACCTCCAAGGAAGGAGAGTCCACAACCTCCCGGGTCAGACTGTTCCACTGTTAAACAGCTCTTACTGTCAGAAAGTTCTTCCTGATGTTGTCAGAACCTCCTTTCTTCTAACTGGAAGCCACTGGTTTGAGTTCTACCCTCTAGAGCAGGAGGATAGGACTCAAACCAATGGCCAGCTCCTTATTTCTTACAATAGCAGTTTACAGCTGGGATAGGGAACCACTTGCACTCCAGATGTTCTTAAATTGTATCTCCAATCACCTCTGACCATTGGAGATGCTGCCTGGGGCTGAGAGATGTCAGACTCCAGCCACATTTGAGGCCACAGGCTGCCCATTCCCAGTCTAAGGATGCCACACATGCACATCCAAGTTTAGAGAGGATATGCAGGAGAAAAATGTTGGCATAAGGATCCGTAAAAGGGGAGGAGTCAAAGGGGATTTATTGATAATATTTTAATGGTTTTCTTTGTTGTTGCTTGTTAACCTGAAAATGCAAAAATAAACTCATTTTAAAAAACAAAAGTTTTTTTCCATTTTGTTTACACCTTCTCTCTCTATCCTGGATGCTGTGCAGGCCTAAGATGACACACTGACGACACAAGAGCATGTATGAGGGGGTGCACTTTGGTCCCCTGTACCTGCTCGGCCGCTCCCGGTTCCCGCTTCAGGATCGCCTCTGCTGCCTTGTTGTTCTTGTACGTCATGGCGCAGGCGAAAGGGGTCATGCCTTGCCGGTCCCGTATGCCGAGCTGGATTTCCGGGTGCGAGATCATCAGCTGGATAATGACACCGTGCTGGTTGATAATGGCAACGTGGATGGGCGTTCTCCCTTCTGCATCCTACAAACACAGGCTGGGTTAGCCAGCAGCGTGAAACAAGCATGCAACGCTTGTCGTTATGAAATGTTTTGAGAGATTGGTGCTAGATCATATTAAGGCTGGTCTTCCATCCACTTTAGACCCGTTCCAGTTTGCATACAGAAGAAACAGATCTACTGATGATGCTATTTCCATCGCTGTCCATACTGTATTGAGTCATCTAGAACGACAGGGAACCTACGCAAGGCTGTTGTTTGTGGACTACAGTTCTGCCTTCAATACAATTCTGCCAGACAGGTTATTTCTTAAAATGACCAATTTGGGTATACATCAGAAGATCTGTCTGTGGGTAAGGAATTTCCTGACTGATAGGCCGCAGACAGTGAGAATGGGACCTTACTATTCTTCTACTCTAGTATTAAGCACAGGAGTCCCTCAGGGATGTGTGCTAAGTCCCTTTCTCTATTCCCTGTACACATTTGATTGCACCCCACTGTATAAGTCCAACACAATCATCAAATTTGCGGATGATACAACAGTGGTGGGGCTCATCAGTGAGAACGATGAGACTGCTTATAGGAAAGAAGTACAGGGGTTAATTCAATGGTGTAAAGAAAATAATCTTATGCTTAACACCAAAAAAACCAAAGAACTCATAATTGACTTTAGGAGAAAGAAAAGTGTATTTTTACCATTGCACATAAATGGCGAGGAAGTGGAGAGGGTTGGTAGTTTTAAATACCTGGGCATTTATATCTCGGAGGACCTCTCATGGACTGCAAATATTAATATGGTTGTGAGGAAGGTGCAGGGGAGGTTGTATTTCCTGAGAATGCTCAGGGGACTGAATCTATCCCAGCACCTACTTCTGTCCTATTATCATAGTACCATCGAGAGTGTCTTAACCTATAGTATATTATCGTGGTATGGGAGCAGCTCTGAAACGGATAAAAAAGCTTTACAGAGAACAATTAAAATTGCCCAGAATGTTATTGGGCTCCGACTACCAACCCTGGATGAGATCTTCACGTCTCGCATCTTGAAGAAGTCACATAATATCCTGAGAGATCCCACCCACCCTGCTCACAACTTCTTTGAACTATTGCCTTCGGGCAGAAGATATAGGACAATGAAAACACGAACCACACGCCTTCTGAATAGTTTCTATCCAAGAGCTCTGATTGCACTAAATAATGATCTCAGGGCCAGTTGCAAGGTTTAGCAAGCAGGGAGTAGGAAGGAATGAGATAGGTTTTAGGTTATGTTATGCCTTAATAGGTCATGTTATATTCTGGATTATGTTATGTTTTTATAGATTATGTCTGAATAGGATGAGAGTGTCGGAGATACGTGCAAATGTATATGTGAACCCGGTCTTTGGGTGGGTGTTTGATTTTCGTTGTTGTGTATACTGTGTATATACGGACAATGACAATAAATTTATCTATCTATCTATCTATCAAAGGCGGGGAGGACATCAGTGGCGCAAGAAAGGACCCACCAGCGGAAATAGGAAAAAGCCTACAAGGCTTTTTCTGTTTCGTACCTGTGCATTTACATTGGCTCCAAACTCTAGAAGGCACTGCACTGTTTCTTCAAGGCCCCAACAAGCCGCCAAGTGCAAGGGCGTCTGTCCATCGCGGGCTTCCTCATCGCCCTCGCCGTTGGCCCCTGGCTGCCTCGGGCTGTTGACGTCGCAGCCGCTGGGAAGGAAGCAAGTGCTACCGTCAGCCTTGACAACTGGAAGCACGGCAAGAGAACCCTGGAAGCTGCCTTGCACAGAGCTGGACCAATAAGCCACCTAAAGGTCCATAAATAGCAACACCTTAGTGGTCCTGGGCCCTAAGAAAGTTAGATTGGCTTCAACCAGAGCCAGGGCCTTTTCAACTCTGGCTCCGGCCTGGTGGAACGCTCTGTCTCATGAGACCAGGGCCCTGCAGGATCTGATTTCTTTCCGCAGGGCCTGTAAGACAGAGTTGTTCTACCTGGCCTTTGGCTTGGAGCCAATTTGATTCCCTCCCCCTCTTTCTTTTTCCTTTCTCCTCCTGTGATGAGGCTGCATTTTAATATTTCGATATTTTAATGTTGTATTTTAATCTTGTTTTTAAGTTGTATTCATTCAACTTGTTTTTATTATTGCTTGTTAGCCGCCCTGAGCCCGGCCTTGGCTGGGGAGGGCAGGGTATAAATAAAAATTATTATTATTATTATTATTATTATTACTACTACTACTACTAAAGCTCAGGGCTGCCTACAATGACTGGCAGCAGCTCTCGAATGCAGGATTTCCCAAACGTGGGTCTCCGGCTGGTTTTTTTGGACTACAGTTCCCATCATCCCTGACCACTGGTCTTGTTAGATAAGGATGATGGGAGTTGTAGTCCAACAACAGCTGGGGACCCATGTTTTGGAAATCCTGCTCTAGGATTTCAGTCAAGGGTCCTTTCCCAGTTCTATGTAGAGACAGAACACAGCGCTTTCTGCATGCAAAGGACACATTCCAAGCCCTTTCCCTAAAAAGAGAGCAGGTTTCCAGTCCTCAAGGTTGTGAGTAAAAGATTAATGGAAAGGAGGACATAGAAAATGGCCTTATATGGCATCAAAGCACTGGTTCATGTTTACACCAACAAACTGTATTTCTGGCAGGAGCCTTCGCAGCCCTTCCTGGAATCACAGAGTCATAGAATTGTAGAGCTGGAAGGGACCCCAAGGGTCATCTAGTCCAACCCCCTGCCATGCAGGAATCTCAGCTAAAGCATCCATGGCAATGGTCACACAACCTCTGCTGAAAAATCCCAATGGAGGAAGCGTCCTTGGAGATCCAAGGGATTTAGCCTGGGACATTCTGCACGCAAATAAGGCAATCTCCCATGAGCTGCACCCCCTTCCAAAGTATATTTGGCCCATTGGGTCCACACACAGCGGCTTGCCAACGGGTTGGCTGATGGGGAAGGAAAGACGTTGTTTTCAGTATCCCACCAAGTCAATGGCCTACTGGTTTACAAAGCCTTAACTGTTGGCTCAAGCAGTTAGGACAACAGGTTTGTTCCTGACCTGCGGATAAGGAAGCAGGAGATCTGCTCGCTGTTCTCATCGATGGCCCTGTGCAGCAGAGTCTGTGAGCAGCCTCCCGGTCCTGGACCCCAACACGTTGCATCGCAACCGTGTCTCACCTACAGGCAGAGAAGAGATGCTTAGGGGGGAATGTAGCACAGTGGTGATTAATGTTTGGGTTCTTAATTTAAAACATTTGATTTTGATTCTGTGCTGTGAACCGCCCCAAGACCTCTGGATATGGGGTGGTATATAAATTCAATAAACAACAACATGGAGAAATACAAAGACTGTTCCGAAGGGCAACAGAAATCAAAGCTCTTCAGTTATTTCCCCCCCTCTCTTTTAGAAAACAGCTTATTGTACAGCAAAATACAGTTATTTTTTACTGGAACTAAAAAGAATTTTTAAAAAACAGACTTGAAAATAACGCACATTATAAAGCAGATGATATTAACAACAAAACAGAAGGAGTAAGCCATTTCTGGGATGAAGTTAATGATTTGGCACTTCTTTTTCTGCTTTTCTTACACAGGCAGTTAGTGGCAGTGAGGGCTTCTGTTTCTACAGTCTGTTCGTTGCTGAAGAGCCTATTAAAGACAACTGATTACCGAAGCTCTTTTTAACAACATTGCTTGCCTTTGTTATTCCAGTTTAATTTATAAGAGTATCTATCTACAAACCTGGAAGTCATTCAAAAATAGTAATTGTGGTGTGTAGAAATATCCACACCCATAGAATTATAAAATTGTAAAATACAGAACAACCAGAAGGGGGATAAAATGAATTATCTAAAAAATGGGGTTTGCGTGGGCTAAGACAGATAAAGGTTAAAGATACATGGATAGTCTGGGAATCTGGAGGTCCCTAACTCTATCTCTTTTAGGTGAGACTGATATTCTCACGTTGCATCCTACTTATAATTTCCTCCCCCTTATACCTTTCTTGTTTGGACCTCAAGGTGAGAGGTCCTCTTTAATTATCCTCTGAAAGAACCAAGGAGAAAGCATAGATTCGTATGGAAGTAGAAACTTTTCTATCGCAAATCACATTATTTCCTACGTTGAACAGCTATATTATTTTCTTACCTACCTCTCTGTGTGTGATTGCAAGAAGCCCACTCTCTAAGATCCACTAGTTTAAACACTGCTCACTCTGCACACCCAAAAAGGTTTCAGCAGGTAATTGACCGTGTTATCTTATTAAAAACCATTGAGACACAGTGAAATGATAAAATAACAAAATACAGAACACGATGACCAGGAGTGAATCAAAGGAATTCTCAAAAAAAATGCCTGAACAACAAGCATGTTTTCAGCAGGGGACGGAGTATCAGAACTGTAGGAGCCTCCCTGATTTCAATAGGAACGGTGCTCCAGAATACTGGTGAATAGACATTAAAATCCTTTGCATGCATAGAAACTAAAATATGAGAACTGTGGGAGAGTTGTGCACGCAAACTGAAGGTGCGTAGGCTGCTCAACCTGTTAAATGAACAGCGTTTGTTCAGTCTCTCCAGTAAGCTATTAGGGTTTTGGCAGAGTGTGCGACCAACCAGCCCTTCTTAATATTGTACTGGAGTCTCGACGTCACTTTCTGTGTAGCATTTTTCTATCTGGTTTTAGGAACCTTGCCTGCTTTAAACATTTTACACGCCCCCGCCCTCTTTTTTAAAATATAAATTTAACAATGCACTCAAAATAGTGCAACCTGTTACAAAATCACTGAATGGACTCAGATGAGGAGAAAGAAGAATGCAATGAGGATACCTTGTTTTTAAAGCCCTCATGGTGGAACGGAGGCTACGCCAGGAAGGCAGCAGCTACTCTCAAGCTGTTGTCGCTGATAGTTGAATACAACAGCCTTGCCTCTCGTTGCCTCCCTCTCTCCTACTCACAACATCTAGGCCAGTCTTTCCCAACCTGGTGCGCTCCACATGTTTTGGAGGACAGCAGGGTGGGAATGGCTGCCCCAAGGATACTCAAACCATATCCATCTGCTGTTTCATTGATTCTGCAACCAGTGCAGTGTCTGTGAGCAGGGGGAAAGCAGCTCACAACACTGTCATGCAACATCATGCATTAAAGAGAGCGGGAGAGAAAATAAGGTCTGTGGCTCTCAACACCAGCCACAAACAAGCTTGCAATGCAGATCCGTCTCAGACTTCTCCCTAGGTTTTACATCCCACAGCAAAGCCTTCTTTTTCAGTTCCTCCCTAGTTTCATTATGCCCAATGACTTGAAGAACAAAACAACGCCCCCCCCCCCACTTTATCCTGGCATGCATTTTGTACAGAAACATTTCCAAGTTGATTGGTTAGAGAAGAGTGATGATGACTGCGAAAAGGATTCCAATGTCTGATGGAAAAAGAAAGAAGAAAGAGACTGCAGCAGTCACCGCTCTTACCAGAGTCGAAGCAATATCTTCCAGGTTGTTTTCCAGAGCGAGCCAGAGCGGAGGGTTCCCTCTATCGTCTGGCACAGACATGTCTGCTCCCCGAGTGCAGATAGCATCGACCACAAGAGGGAGCTGGTTTTTGATGGCCAGCTGGAGGGCCGTCTCCCCATCCTGAGTCCTGCAAACAAGCACATTGTGCTATACGCAGGCAGATAGCCACAGGCGGTGCATCACTGACAGATTGGGGGAGGGAAGTGCAGTGGTACCTCCGGTTGCGAACGGGATCTGTTCCAGAGCTCCGGTTGCATCCCAAGGAATTCGCAACCGAAAGTGCTGCTTCTGCACATGGCACGGTTTAGCGCCTCTGCGCATGCGCGAGCGGCGAAACCTGGGGAAATATTTCCGGGTTTGCCGTGTACGTATCCCAAAGGATACGTAACCGGAGGTGAACGCAACTAGAGGTACCACTGTGCTATTTTAAAAATTGCAGAAAGAACAAAAGAGACGACAAAGGCTCAAAATGGTACTGAAAGATAAACCTTTATCAAGAGCCAAAGATTCATCATCCCTGAACTAATCAGCGAGGGCACAAGTGAGTCTGCGGTGCCCCTTATTTTCTTTGAGGTTCTTTTAAAAGCACCATACAAAAACAAGTTGCCGTCTCATAACCATAGTAGAATATAAACGAAGATCCCATCCTTATGGTGCCAAGATAATTCAGGTGGCATTTTCTGTTATCATCCTTGGTTCTCTGTGGTGTCAACCTCCACCCACCAGCAGAACCCACTGATGCCCTCTGAGGCAAGGGGGTGTGGGAAGAGCAGAAGCAACCTGCTCAGCCCAAGACAGCACCAATTCATTTGCCCAAGTGTGCCTTGCGGTGGGCACTGGGCCTGCCTCTGGGCTAAGACTCTCACACAACTTTGCAAGTACAACCAAGGCCTTATTACCTGACGCTGATATCTGCCTGGTGCTCCAAGAGGAAGAGGGCGCTCTTGCTGTCCTGCCTCTGTATTGCCATGTGCAGCAGAGTCTGCCCGTCTGACATCGTGTCATTGATGGAGGCCCCAGAGCCAAGCAGCTGAGCAGCAATAGTGTGCATTCCTGCCAGCGGGGAGAGGAAACATCCAATTTATCCCTTACATTTCTGCCCTTTCTTTCCTTCAAGGAACTCATGACTGCCTGTAGAGCTCCCACTCTCTCCCCTCCTATTTTGGACTGTCAGATAAGGCATGAGAGAACAGGGTTCGAATCCCCAATCAGTCATGAAAATCGCTGGGGGCCAGTTGCTCTCAGCCTAACCTACTTCACAGGGTTGCTATGAGGATAAAATGGTACGGGGGGGAAATGATGTATGCTACCCTTGAGCTTTTTGAAAAGAAGGTGGGGTGTAAATGCATTGTCCGTAACTTTCGTTGTGTTTTAGAAAAGTGGGACAGAAGCACTCGAAAATAAACAAATCCTTACTCTGGGACACTTCACATGTTATGGTATTTAACAATAGTACTCCCCGAACCTGGTGACTTCCATATGTTAAGAAGTGGCGCTCAACATCTGGGGAAGGCTACTCTATACAGATGAACCTTCAAACTGCAGTCCCAGGACCTGGCCTGCAATCCTGAGACTGTGCTCCCATAGTTGGAGTATGAAGCCATGTAAATTCAGCTGTATTCCGCTTTTTTCTCTTGTCAAGATACCATGAGAGGTTAAGGTTTTCAGGGATTTGCAGGCAAGTTGGAGTTTGAACTTTACTCCTCCCGGCAGCTTAGACACAAAATTTGTTTAGGTACAAATATGCCAGATTAAAGGGCTCACATATTGCGCTACCAGATGCACTTCTGTCAGACAAACATGGCTTTCTAGCCGCCTGCGGTCGGAGGCCTGTTAGTTTGCGCTATGTTGAAACAGGAGAGCAGATTTGTTTGCGAGAACAACTATGAAGGGTTCCACTGCTGCTGCCATCTACGTAAGTAGATGCTGGTGTTGTTTTTTTTTAAAAAAAACAAAAGCCCAACTTGTGGCTTTCCAGGTGCTGTTGGACTTCCAACCCCAATCAGCCCTGGCCAGCCCCACAGCCAGTGAGCAGGGATGATGGGATTTGCAGTCGATAGTTTGTACTATGATGTACAAGTGGAGCAGATATGGCCTGCACAGGATGAGGGACGGGATCAACTAGCTACTCAGCATTAAACAGTTCACCTCCCCTCTTATTTGAAACAGGCTCCAAGGTGGTTGTATGACAGAACACAGAGTGTAACAAGGACTGAGAGATTGTGGGTGGGATGGGGGGCTTGTTTAATCTCACTGTAAACAAGTGGTACAGTGACAATAAAGTATTTCTATTTCCCCCATAACCACTACAGACAAGTGGATGGAAAGTCATAGCACTTTATAAAGTCCCAGTGATTTCAATAGGAGAAATGGAACACAGACTTAAATATCTCTCCCTTTTGAAAGCAGTGGGATTGAAAGATGCTTAACTCCGGTTGGATTGCTCCCTTAGGGTTCCAACTATACTCTGAGAAAACCCCCTGAAATCAATGGACTTATCAGTCACAACAATGGAATTTTAAAGCGTCAACTGCTGGTTGAATACAATCCTTATTTTTTCTTTTTTTTAAAAAAAGGTTTCTTCTATTATTTATTGGAGTTGAGGCCACCTCTGCCCACACGCTCAAAAAAATTCAGACCATCCCTCTTTTGGCGCTTACCTGTCCATAAAGCTAATCCCAGGACTGTTTGGTCTCTGGAGTCCTTGAGACTGAAGTCAGGAATGATCTGCAGATTGTTGGTAGCATGAAGGGCATTTGCTGGAAGAGAAAACCATTAATTCTCTTTTAAGCCTGAAGTTAATCCTGTTTGCTTCGAAGATACCAGGCTGCATACGCATTATACCTTTAAAGAACATTTCCCACCCACCCCTAGAAGAGTTCTGGGCTCTGTAGTTTACCCTTCTGTAGTTGGAGGAAGTAACGACTCTGAATGCCAGTTGATGGAAGCCAATGGGATGCAGGGAAAGTGCCCTTGTGCTCGGGCTTTCCATAGCTGCATCTGGTTCACCACTGGATTAGATGGACCACTGGCCTGATCCAACAGACTCTTTTTGATGGTTCATTTATCTGCTTTTCTGCTCCTATTCCCTCCACTTCCACCCCCTCCCGACTGGCAGCTCCCCACAGAAAGCTTACCTTTTTGCTCCAGTATGACGGACACCACATCCGGGTGGTTATAAGCTATTGCCATGTGAAGAGGAGTTTGCAGGCTGACGTTATCTGCCGTGCTGGGCGTCGCTGTCCCCTTCTGGGCAGGCATGGCTTTCTCCGTCTGGATATTAGGATTTGCTCCTTGCTGCAGCAACTCTGCCGTGAGGTTGGCTAGGCCATGCCGGCAAGCTGTGTGCAGCGGGGTCTCCCCCTTTGTGGAAAGGAGAATTTGGAAAACTTAAAAAAGACCATCGATTTCAAGAGGGAGAGAAAAGACTCGTGAATTGGGACTTTAAAAGCAGCTCCCACAGAGCTCAGTGCGCGACAAACAACTGTCAACACATTTGTGGCTCCTCAATTGTCTAAGCGCTGTACATATGCTAGAAGAAAGGGCTGCCTGCAGGTTCTCAATCTAAGAGACGCAATATAAAAGGAAAAAAGAATGGGGAGGGAAGAGGAAATAAAACAGGGGAGCAGCTGCTCCTTCACTAAGGCTGGACAATGTCAGCTTTTCAACACTGAAATGTCTCACCGGCCAAACATTGAGATATAGCAATACATCACAATATTGAAAAACAGAGGGAGGAACAAGCTGCATCGGCCCTGGCCCCCCAAGGCGCTGGGGTAGAAATCCCTTGGCAGGATTGGCAGTGGTTTCACCTGACACCCCATGGGGCCGGGGCCAATGCAGCTTGTTCCTCCCTCTGTGCACTGGCCACTGGTGGCAGAGTCAGGTGCAGGCAAGCCCCACCCGCAATATACTGCCAGGTGAAGGTGCCATTGCACTCTGGCCTTCAAACTGGCCCTGGGCAATGAATCGATACATCGCCCAGGCCTAACACACACACACACACACCCTTTCTCCATCTCATCACAGTAAAATGAGAAATAGTCCAAACTATCCACATTTTAATACTTGCACTCTACAGTAAGCACTTACGGGCTTGCTATTAATTTCCCTCCATGCACCAAACAGATATATGGAGTGTCTGAGCAGAGTTCTATTTCATTTGACATTCCCTTCTCTTCACCTACCGCTTTATTCCGGTGGTTAACTTTGGCCCCATGAGTTGCCAGGAACAGAGCGGCAGCCTCGTTTTCTGCCCCTGCTGCTCTTTGCAGCAAGCAGTTTCCTATAGGCAGCCAGCCACCCGGGTGGGGGAGAGAGAAAGAAAAAGCAGAGTTAGAACAGGAACCGAAATTCCAGCCGTCATCTTGCATTCTAAGCCAGGACACTGGAGGGCAGGGCACAACTGAACTGACGTGGCTTATTACTGACTTCCTTATTATTAAGTGTGCTTAAAAGGTAAAGGTAAAGGGACCCCTGACCATTAGGTCCAGTCGTGACCGACTCTGGGGTTGCGGCGCTCATCTCGCTTTATTGGCCGAGGGAGCCGGCGTACAGCTGTGGCCAGCATGACTAAGCCTCCTCTGGCGAACCAGAGCAGCGCACGGAAATGTCGTTTACCTTCCCACCGGAGCGGTACCTATTTATCTACCTGCACTTTGACGTGCTTTCGAACTGCTAGGTTAGGAGGAGCAGGGACCGAGCAACGGGAGCTCACCCCGTCACGGGGATTCGAACCGCCGACCTTCTGATTGGCAAGTCCTAGGCTCTGTGGTTTAACCCACAGCGCCCACTTTTTGTCACAAGTGACCTCAAAGCGACACTCACACTCTCTCTCTCTCTCTCTCTCTCTCTCTCTCTCTCTCACACACACACACACACACACACACACACACACATTATTACAAATCACAGAACACAATTAAGGCAACAGGAAAACACCAGCAACATCAATAATAAAGCCACAGTATAAAAACCATACTATATCAGCAATACCAACAATAAAACCTCAAAATCAGTACAGTGGTACCTCGCAAGACGAATGCCTCACAAGACGAAAAACTCGCAAGACGAAAGGGTTTTTGGTTTTTTGAGGTGCTTCGCAAGACAAATTTCCCTATGGGCTTGCTTCGCAAGACGAAAACGTCTTGCAAGTTTGTTTCCTTTTTCTTAAAACCGTTAATACAGTTGCGACTTGACTTCGAGGAGCAACTCATAGCACGCGGTGTGGTAGCCTTTTTTGAGGTTTTTGAAGACTTTGGTGATTTTTGAAGCTTTTCCAAAACTTTTCCGAAACCGTGCTTCGCAAGACGAAAAATTCGCAAGATGAAAAAACTTGCAGAACGAATTAATTTCGTCTTGCGAGGCACCACTGTACTATAACATAAAACACACTTAAGCCTAACCATCACCACCAAAAAACTAGAAGAAGAAAAACAAACCCAAGTAAATTTCCATCAAACCATGAACCCCCAAACACCCATGCCTCCAGAAAGAGGGCGTTTCACAACTGGGGCAGTGCCACTCAAGGCCCTTTTGATTTGTCCTCCCCTGATGTACAACAGCTGGAATTTTGTTTCCTCAAGAGACTCCAGTGTCTTTTTGCTCAATTCACAAAAAAAAAAATTAGCTATCTGAAACATGCAGGCCACACACCCCTCCCACTGCACCCTCTTTTCAGTGCCCTCTGTGCTAAAGCAAACCAAAAGGTTGCTCGCTTTAAAGTTTCAGCTCTGCTGTTGCTTCTTTCTTCCTTTGGCTTGTCTTCTATCTGATTTCTCAACTGCTTTCTGAGTTACTGGGATGACACAATTTCTCTCACCGGTCGCTGTGTCGGGAGCGTCCGTATTGCTGCCCCGCTGGATGAGCCTGGCTGCAAAGCTGTTCTCATCAAAGGAAGTGCCGTTTTCCACCAGGACATCCTCAAAGGGGTTGACGGACGGGTCAGAAGACACCGTGATATACTGAACAGCCAGCCACAAAGCAGTGCTTCCTTCATGATCCTTCAGTTCCAAATCGAGTCTGGCAACGACAATAACATTCCGATTATGCCCCACGAATAATTTCAAGTCGGGACTTTGTTCTCAGGAGACACAAATCAAGGCTTTCTAACACTGGCCAGTTCACTGGATTTCACCTTGTTTATTGTGCCTTCAACATCCAACATTTTTGTATTTTCTGCCTACCTAGTCAACTAGCGTTCTTTTTCTCCTGATTGACATTTGTCCATTCTCACGGGCAGCTTTTCATTTACTGGGAGGTTTCGCAACTTGAATTTGAATCCTGCGAGACCTTTTAGTACAGAAACACTTCCATTCTGCCACCACTGAGCCACTTCCCCAAGCTCACCGTTCCAGACACCTTCCTGCCCTATCGAGAAGACCCACCCTAAGTGTCTGTGGCAAAACAGAACGATGATAAGAAACACACAATTCCACAGACAAGAACTGCCAGACAAGTTGCCGGCTACGAAGGGAAGAGCAGCATTTAGGAAAACTCTGCCTGAAATTCAGGAAAAGTCCATCGTTCCCAGACGGTCTCCTAACATACCCAAAACTTGACAAGGACATGGTTTCTCCTATCAAGAGCACCATTCAGATAGATAATTGTATTAATCCAGTTTGCACAGACTTACTGCTTGCACTGGAGCAGCTGGCTGAATACTGGGTCATTTCTCACAACGATGGAGGCATGCAGTGGAGTCCTGGGGGTGCAGAGAAAGAGAGAGAAAGGGGTCAGTTGAATTAGGGCACAAGGTCTTCCAAAGGTCAAGGAGCAAGATCTCTTTTGTAAGTCGGCAACTTCTTGGAGCACGTGACACTAGACTCCTCCCTCAACTGGCTCTACCTGCTTGTCTTATTTACACCGGAGACCAACATCCATTTTAATTATTAACAGCTATTACTAAGCATTCAGCAGTCGGTTTTAGATTTACTTCTGTACCCGTCAACAGGTTTCACCTATTTTCAGTGACAGACTTAACGGGGTGCAGATATTTATTTATTTATTGAAATCGTTTTTATTTGATTTTACAAATATAAGTTTATAACTTTCCAAATACATATCCATATACAGAGATTACTCTGAATCTTGAGACTTCCCGCCCCATCCCCTCCATGGGTCCTACTGCCAGCATTTACAACTGTGTATTATTCCATACAGTGGTGCCTCGCAAGACGAAATTAATTCGTTCCGCAAGTCTCTTCGTCTTGCGGTTTTTTCGTCTTGCGATGCACGGTTTCCCATAGGAATGCATTGAAAATCAATTAATGCGTTCCTAGGGAAACCGCCTTCAGACCAGGTCCGGGGACAGTCTGTCCCCGGACCTCTTCTGAAGGCTGGGGGGGGGGGGGAACAAGGGCTTTTCTTCCCACCCCCAGCATTTTAAAAAACCCTGGGACAGCGGAGGACTTCTCCGCTGTCCGGGGCGATCTTAAAATGCTGGCGGGCGGCATTTTAAAATCGCCCCGGACAGCGGAGGACTTCTCCGCTGTCCGGGGCGATTTAAAAGCCCCTGGGAAGGCAGGCAGGGGGGACAAAGACTTTCGCCCCCTGCCCGCCTTCAGAAGGTGTTCCCGCCCCCCGCCCCGCTTCGGAACAGCGTTCCGAAGTGGGGCGGCTGGGGCAGGTGTCCCCGCCCCCCCTCCCCACTTCGGAACAGCTTTCCGAAGTGGGGCGGCTGGGGCAGTTGTTCCCGCCCCCCCTCCCCGCTTCGGAACAGCTTTCCGAAGTGGGGCGGCTGGGGCAGGTGTCCCCGCCCCCCCTCCCCGCTTCCGAACAGCTTTCCGAAGTGGGGCGGCTGGGGCAGTTGTTCCCGCCCCCCCTCCCCGCTTCGGAACAGCTTTCTGAAGTGGGGCGGCTGGGGCAGGTGTCCCCGCCCCCCCTCCCCGCTTCGGAACAGCTTTCCGAAGTGGGGCGGCTGGGGCAGGTGTCCCCGCCCCCCCTCCCCCCTTCGGAACAGCTTTCCGAAGTGGGGCGGCTGGGGCAGGTGTCCCCGCCCCCCCTCCCCGCTTCGGAACAGCTTTCCGAAGTGGGGCGGCTGGGGCAGTTGTTCCCGCCCCCCTCCCCGCTTCGGAACAGCTTTCCGAAGTGGGGCGGCTGGGGCAGGTGTCCCCGCCCCCCCTCCCCGCTTCGGAACAGCTTTCCGAAGTGGGGCGGCTGGGGCAGTTGTTCCCGCCCCCCCTCCCCGCTTCGGAACAGCTTTCCGAAGTGGGGCGGCTGGGGCAGTTGTTCCCGCCCCCCCTCCCCGCTTCGGAACAGCTTTCCGAAGTGGGGTGGCTGGGGCAGGTGTCCCCGCCCCCCCTCCCCACTTCGGAACAGCTTTCCGAAGTGGGGCGGCTGGGGCAGTTGTTCCCGCCCCCCCCTTCGGAACAGCGTTTTAAAATGCTGGGGGTCGGGAGCGAAGCGCTGCCGACCCGCAGCATTTTAAAATCTCCCCGTGTCCCGGGAAGATTTTAAAATGCTGGGGGTCGGGAGCGAAGCGCTGCCGACCCCCAGCATTTTAAAACCTTCCCGGGACAAGGGGAGATTTTAAAATGCTGCGGGTCGGCAGCGCTTCGCTCCCGACCCCCAGCATTTTAAAACCTTCCCGGGACACGGGGAGATTTTAAAATGCTGCGGGTCGGCAGCGCTTCGCTCCCGACCCCCAGCATTTTAAAACCTTCCCGGGACACGGGGAGATTTTAAAATGCTGCGGGTCGGCAGCGCTTCGCTCCCGACCCCCAGCATTTTTAAAACCTCCCCGGGACACGGGGAGATTTTAAAATGCTGCGGGTCGGCAGCGCTTCGCTCCCGACCCCCAGCATTTTAAAACCTTCCCGGGACACGGGGAGATTTTAAAATGCTGCGGGTCGGCAGCGCTTCGCTCCCGACCCCCAGCATTTTAAAACCTTCCCGGGACACGGGGAGATTTTAAAATGCTGCGGGTCGGCAGCGCTTCCCGACCGCCAGCATTTCCCTATGGGCTTTCGTCTTGCGATGCAAGCCCATAGGGAAATTCGTCTTGCGAAGCGCCTCCAAAACAGAAAACCCTTTCGTCTTGCGGGTTTTCCGTCTTGCGAGGCATTCGTCTTGCGGGGTACCACTGTATTCTATATTTTTAATCAATCCATAATATCCATAGTATTTGTTACATTACAAGTGAGTTTCAAATCCTGCTAATGTTTCCATCTGCTTGCAGTGGTCTCCTAGATAAATTATAAATTTTCCCCATTCTTTTTAAGAAGTTTTTGTCTTCTTGGTTCCTGAGTCTCAGTGTTTTTAACCCTGCTCTACTTCCTACGGATGGATCTGAATTACCACCGCCAGGTCACCTGGCATCTCTCCCCGCCCGCTGGTTCAACACCAGCTAAGACATCAAACAGCCCACATTTCAGTCACCAGATGCCTGGGATAACAGATACGTTTTACCCTGGCACCGGAATCCCATCAATAACATACATGCTTTTACATGCAAAGGTTGCAGTTTCTATCACTGGTACCTCTGCCAGCCAAAATAAGCAATACAACAATAAATTTTATTTATATCCCACCCTCCCTGGCCAGAGCTGGGCTCAGAGCAGCTAACACCAATAAAATCACAGTAAAAACATAATAGGGGGGAAAGGGGGGGGGGAGAAAAGAAAAAAACCCAGTTAAAAATACAGGGTAAAATGCAATTTAAAATGCAGCCTCATTTTAAAGTAGCTGATAAATCAAGACTATAAGGGGAGAGAAACATAAGGGTCAGACCCTGTCTAGCAGGCCCTGCGGAAAGATGTCAAGTCCCGCAGGGCCCTAGTCTCTTGTGACAGAGTGTTCCACCACGTCTGGGCCAGTGCTGAAAAGGCCCTGGCCCCAGTTGAAACCAATCTAACTTCCTTGAGGCTCGGGGCCTCCAAAGTGTTGTTATTTGTGGACCTTAAGGTCCTCCACGGGGCATCCCAGGAGAGGCGGTCCCATAGGTACGTGGGTCCTAGGCCGCACGTACAAGGGTTTGATGGACCAATTTTTCCAATTCTGCATAAAGCATCTTCAGATGTCCAGATCAACATTTCAAGCAACAGGTCAAGGAAACATACAAACACAACGCCACCCAACAGTCACCTTCCTTTGCTGTCCTGCATGTTCGGATTGGCTCCTGCCTTCAAGAGGGACTCTGCTATCTGTGCCATCTCTGCCATGATGTCCGGCTTGTGCTTCTTGGGGCTGTAGGAGGCCACGAGGTGCAAGGGAGTCTCCTGGTCTCCCAAGGTTGCAGCATTCACCCGGGCACCGTTTTTAACAAGGAAGCTAGCAGCAAATTTATCTCCTTTGGGGAATGACAAGGAAAGAGCAGAAGTCAGGTAGCAGGATTTTAAAAAAGCACTCACTCCAAAGAAACCCTCCCTAACAATCCTTCCCCATTTGCCATATCAGTCAGAAAAGTGTAAATGGCAGAATATTCCTTGTATCTGTAGAAAAGGAACAGGTGTGTTAAAAAATTAAAAAAGACCCAGATGCAGGGCGTTTGATGGAAAGAGGGTTAGTGGTCTCTATTTTGGGTGTGTTATTAACATTATGAGTTCAAGGTGGCTTCTCCCTGCCCCATTTCATCCCTAAAACAACCGTGTGAGGTAGGCTAGGCTAAGAGGCAGTGACTGGCCCAAGGTCACCCAGTGAGCTTCACGGCCAAGTGGGAATTTGAAGCCTGGAATCCAAAATCCTAGTCCAACACTCTCGTCACCACAGCACACTCACGTAAGAAGATAAAGCAAGATTATTCAGCAAGTGCCTGGGCTACTTGTTTGGCTCACTGTGTTAGTTCTGAAGAAAATACAAATGACACACGGAGGACACACACAAAAGTTGCTGGATGCCTCTCTCTTCTAAGTGACGGCTTTCCCTAGGTGTTTGGATGGGGAGGAAGAATAGAAAATAAGCTGCTTAAAAGAGAGCCAAGAAGCAGGCATATTTGGGAGTATCTGAGGCTGCAACACAGCTAAGACTAAGTAGGCCTGGACCAGGTCGGCCTCTTAAATGGGAGACCACCAGGAACCATATATAAAAACAGAATAAAAAAATAAATCTTAAAACTTCTGATGCATCCACATGACATGTCAATTCACATACAGTTTAGTGCTTATGTCCTAAATGGGGAAACACCAGAAATAGTGGCCCTGAGAAAGTAACAGTCCTATTTCTGGATTTTGCTGTTATGGAGGAAGCGCAGCCTGTGCAGGTTCCACAAACAGCCCATAGAATGGCCAAGAAAGGATGGGATGGGGTAAAAAGGATGGGAAGGAGGGAGATGGCGTTGCAGGTGCATGAGGATCACGCGGGCTCAACAGGCACCAGTTGTACATCTGAACTTTCCCATTAAGTGCTGCAGTGCGATGCATCTTCTTCAGGTGCCTCCAATCATGGAGACCCTTTCTTGTGCTGAGTAAGCATCACAGCCACCCATCAGCACACATCCAGCACAGGCATTAAGTGATGGCAACGCGTTCACCATGCCACCAAAAAATGGCCCCCACACCATTCTGCTGCTTTTCACAAGCAAGCTGCCTGTAACTGGAAGCGGCGCTGGGGAGCACAGAACACCCATTCCAGCTCAGTGAAGGGAGATCCAAAGATTTCCTTGACGTTTTTGGCATTTCGCAATCTGAACCAGATGAAGTGACGTTGCTTAAAGAGCTTGCAAGATCCGTACAGTGGAGCCTCGAACCCGTAAGATGGGCCAAGACCCTCAACCTGCTCTGGCAAGGTAGACTGTTGCCAGTTGTATTCCAGCTTCAAAAGAAATCTCCTGCAACGTCGGAGGCCCTTAACCTGCAGTTTCGTAACTAGGGACCAAGGGGTTTTACAATTCTGGTGAAATACCTTGCCCTTCTCCTGAACTGGGAGGAGTTATAGAGGTTCTCCCAAACCTCAAACTAATTCTCAGAATGAAGGAAGGCGTCCTGCTTCTTTCGGAGACACTCTGAAGCTCAAAGCACCATGGACAAGTCCCTCTAGCTACTCAACTCAGGGCTGCGAATGGAGGGGAAAGGTTTGCTTCCACCACCACCCAAAGTTGACACTCCTTGCAGGCTCATCACAGCCAATCCCGGGGGGCGGGGAGGAGAGAGAGGGACACAAAGGTTAACATGATTTTTGGCTAGCCAACCAAAACCCTCTGATCTTGACTACAGCTGGTATTAAGTGATATGGAAAGAAGCTTATCTTCATGGGTTACTCATACCTTGCAGAGGACTATAATTTTCCTATTATACATTTAGATGAAGTTTATTTTCTACAAGTATTTAGCCCGAGAGAAGAACAGAAATTGCTGGCCATCTGCTTGAATTGCTAATAAAGAAGGGCAGGCAACAAGCCCCACTTTCTCTTTCCAGAAAAAGATGTAATTCAAGATGCTACTGCTCTGTTCCTTTGCTCTCTGCATCTCACTGCCATGGCAACCAATTCCTGTCTAACTATATGAATCCTCAAAAGGATCCCTTTTCTTGAACTGAAAACTTCAGAACCACCAAACACACCACATGTTTTGCCAGACTTTTGGAGGTTTTTTCTAAAGCTAAGTTAAGCTGCTGTGTAATGTCCAACATCAGTTCAACAACTCTCTAACTTGATCATGCAAGATGGCCCAGGATAGAAGACATTTCTAGTTTGCAGAAATCTTTCTCTCAAGTTGGAGATACAGTGGTACCTTCGGGTTACATACGCTTCAGTTTACATACGCTTCAGGTTACAGACTCTGCTAACCCAGAAAACATACCTCGGGTTAAGAACTTTGCTTCAGGATGAGAACAGAAATGGTGCAGCGGCGGCGCAGTAGGCCCCATTAGCTAAAGTGGGGCTTCAGGTTAAGAACAGTTTCAGGTTAAGAACAGACCTCCAGAACGAATTAAGTTCTTAACCCAAGGTACCACTGTACATGCTTACACACAACCTACTGTTTGCTGTGGACATGAAAAACAGGTGAGTGGAGGAATTTGCTGGGAAGACGTCCTTGGTTAGTTTTTGGTTGTTTGTTAATGTTGCTAATATTGTTTTGTGGGTTACAAGTGCTGTAATGCTTTGTGAATTTTTTGACTTTTCTTGTGGTTGTGCTGTTCGGTCTATTTTTTAAGATGTTTTGTTAATAGTGTTTTATATAAGGTGGTTGTTTTAATGATTATTTGTTTATATATATCTATATATTTATAGTATATTTTTTACTGAAAAACAGGAAGTATAAAATTTCAGGTGCTCGAGGTAAAATAAGACGCGAATAGAAAAACAACAACACCCGTGTAAAGAACAAAAACTATAAACATTACATGACTGTTATTGTAGTTAACCTAAACTTAACCTAATACAGTGTTTATAAAAATGAATTCCAAATATCATTAAATTTTCCCATGGCAAGCCTACGTTTGTAGGTGACTTGTTCATGTGTTGCAAGTTTGTACGTATCTTCTATCCATTCGTTTACTGATGACAGAGAGGCCTGGAGGCCAGCATTTGGCTACAGGGGCCTGAGGTTCCCTACCCCGATCTACAAATTTAAATGCTAGCACCTATGAAATCTGAGATTCCTGCATTACAGGGGATTGAATTAGGTGACCCTCAAGGTCCCTGCCAACTCTATGATTCCATGAGGTGTTTTTGCCAGGAATGTACAGAACGAATTCATAGCTGGAAAGCGAACTATATATTTTACAAACACAGTTTATTCTTACCCCTTTGAATAGCTTTATGCAGCAAGCTCCAGCCTTTCTTGTCCACCATGTCCACATCTGCCTTGTGGTTAACCAGGGTGGTTGCAATGCTTTCCAGTCTTCGAGAAAGTGCCAGATCTAAAGCAAGATCTCCGTTGTGATCTACTTCGTTTAGCTTCCCAGGCAGCTGCAGGGAAACAGAAGTCGGGCACCGCACAGCGTGACAGCAAAAGCAGCAGATAAAAAAAAGAAGAAGATGATTCTGGTGTTTATTCTACATTTAACGCCGCTCACTAAGGAGCCACGCAGGGCGGCAGAGAAGCTTAGGAGAGGCCACGCTCAGTGACAAAGCATGACGCAAATCCCAGGCTCAAGAACGAAGGCCGACCTGGACTAAATAGAACAATGGTTCGAACGTAAGGCAGGCTTACGGACAGTTAAAAGAAAAGACAGTGGAGGTTGTGGGGGAAGCAACAATCATTTCGAAGAGAAAGGTTTTATTAGTGATATTTGGGGGGGGGGGAGAGAACTGTAACTGCAAACTAGTGAAGGTGTTTGTTTTTAAAAACTCCTTTCAGATGCTAAAGTCTATTCTGCTTTCTTAAGACGCAGAGGGAACTGACTTTGTAGTAATGAGCATATTGAGAGATATCTCCAAAATTCTATCCTATTGCAGATTTAGGGGAGGATCTCTGCCTACCTGCGAATCCATTTCAATAAGATACAGGAAAACGACGTCTTCTCTCTCCACTTTAATAGCTTTGTGCAAAGGAAACTCTGTTTTGGATTTGATCATTTTATACAATAGCTGAGCACTCATACTGCCAAAGTCTTCTTTCCTCAAATCATCCTGGGGGGCGAAAAATCATTAATCAAGAAAGTCACATATCTTGGCTCCAACCTTAGCCCCCGCCCCCCAAGCTTCAGTCATTTCTCCAGGGCTATTTATTTATTTGTAGGATTTGTACCCTTTCCTTATCAGAAAGGTTCCCAGAGTAGCTTACATGAAATTAAAACAACACTCCCCACCGTTGGGCTTACATCTTAACAAATACATAAATAAAAACACAACATAGAGCAAGCATAAAAAAAGTACCAGCCATTTCTACATGCACCTGTGCTTTTAGAAGTGTATGGGTAACAGGGAAAAAACCAGACTTTTGGGGGGAGTCAAACTGAAAAAGTACATTTGATTGTACATGGTCAGATTTTCCCGCCTGCCTCTCAAAAGTCTATGTGGCTGAATATAATTCCCAAGCATTCATTGGTTTCTGGCTTGAAAACTATAAATGCCGCGGCAAGAGCAGCACATGTGTTTCTGTGAATCTGTAAAATGATTTCCAACTCTCTTGTTTTCATTGCAATACCAGAGTTTATGGGTCTATGTTTTGTTTGTTTTGGTTAGTGTACTATGTTTGTTCCTGTTTGTTTTATATTTTATTTTTACTTTACAAATTCTGTGTGTGTGTGTGTTTTTTTTAAAGAAATGTATGCGTGGGCAGCACAAGGAATGGAGAAAGCTGGGTCTGAAGCTGTGCTACACTACTGCAAGATGGGGGTACTGTATAAATAAATTACCGCAAGCTGCTTAGACCAGCCGTCACCAACCTGCTGCTTTGTACTACAATTCCCATAAGCCCCAGCCAATTTGGCCAATGGTCAGGTATGATGGGAGTTGGATGCCAACCACACGTGGCAGGCCACAGGTTCCCCACCCATTTCATTGCTCTGGGTGGTATAAGAATGCTCCTTCCGTATCTCAGCTTTGAACACAAGGCTCTCCCATGGGCATGAATCATTGTACCAGGAACATCCTCCAACATTTTGTTGTCTCAACCTGTGAGATTATTTATCCACACATGTAACATAGGCTGATGATCTTTAATGAGGCACTTTTTCTCCCACGCTGCAAAATGTTTCCACGGGTGGAGGGGGGGAACACTCTTTGGAACTGAGCTATGATTCAATAATTACAGACCAGGAACCGCCTGTTTTCAGTACAGGCATCAGTTCTGCTGTCAATGCCAAGACATCCCATTTTAAGCAGATGCATACACCAAACTGCAGACCAAATGAAAACGAAAACCTCTTTGCGAGTGGGAAGCTAACAAGGCAAAGAGAACGCGGGGCTAAAATTCTTCTCTCTAACATGCTAGCTTTCCACATGCGAGGTGGCACTTGTTGTTTCCTGGGGCAACCTTCAAACACCCAATTCCCTTGCCATACATGGTACAGCCCAAAGCAGCTGCAGAACAGAATGTGGGGGATTTCCAGTATAGTTTCAAATTTTACAGAAATCTTTGCCTTGGAAACAGAGTAAATGCTGCATTTTTAAATTAAAAAAACACATATCCTCATTTGACCTCTTGAAGCACCCCATGCTCCACTCTCGGCGCTTACCCAATGACTAGCAATTATCTCTGCACAGTAGTTCATCAAAGTGCTGGCATTCAGCTCCTCAGCTGTTTGATAGAAGCGGATGCAGTTTCTGACGTTCACAAGTGACATGACTCCTTTTTCACACCTACCGAGACGGACAGGGAAAGAGCCGGGGGTCAGCAAAAAGGGGATTTACCAGGAGATGGTTTTCATTGCCAGCATCAAAAGACTTATCTCAGTAGCTAAAAAGTATGAACACAGACCTGCTTTATAAAGTATTAGTAAAACTGAGGAAGTTCTTTGAAAGATCTTGGCCCAGATCGGGCATAACTATCTCAGTTAATTAAACTAAGATATGCAAGTGGCGTGTGTCATCCCTTCCCTCTTTGCTGAGCAACAACTGAAGAGTGCCTGAGTTCATTAACCACAGTTTCCCACTGCATCCAAACCAGGAAACTATGGTTTCCATATTCAGAGCAGATCAGTACTCAAGGAGTAGCCTTCAGCTCCGAAGGAATTGCCTGTCCTGCACTTGAAGACTTCTGAAGTTAAGATTAATATTCTTGGCTAAAAGCCTAACAACCTGCAAGACATTCAGAGGAGGCATTCTGCCGTTAAGCTACCATTCATCCAGTTGAATGAGAGAGGCAAGACTTTTCTGCTTGTGCTGCTAACACCATCACCCTGTTGTAAATAATGTCCTGATTCAAGTATCATCATCAATACTTTATTGCGGTCCAAAGACCCATAAAGCATAAACCATAACAATTTCAAAACTAGATACAGTTAAAACGACCATACAGACAGATGTTAGAAACCAAGGCAGTCATTTTGTTTTATCTAGGGCATAATGATCTTTGTTTCTTATAACCTCCAAAAGAAACTTTTCCATGGCCAGTGTAATACCTGATTCAAGTAATATCTGAGCATTATAATCTATTAACACGCGCCTGGAATGTTGCCTTGCCCATACTGCCAGAAGTAGATGGATGCGATACATCTAGTAAAGCCAAGTTCATTTGCACATACACAAATGGGATAAATTAATAGGAGCACACAAGATCCCAGAGCAGAAGAGATTCTCTGTGTCACTACAGTCACGCTTGTTACTACAAAGTCAGTTCCAATGTATAGGTTTGACAAAGAACCTGGCGAGATTTCCTTCATTTGCTGGAGGAAGCATCAAGAGGGCCTTCTAACTCATGCGTGCAATAGGACAACCTTTACCTAAACCAACCTTCACCAGTGAGCCCAGAACACCTGGAGGTCACCAGGAAGGCTGACCCAAAGCATCCTCAGCAGATCTTTCCAAAGGAAAGAGATCCCACCACTGGTCCTGATCACAGCTGCATTTCTGAGAGTGCCCATCTTTGAATTCAAAGCCGCTTCCCAGAGGGATCCACAGGGGGAAAAACAATCACTTGCGTTAGGACAAATAGCCTGGTTAATTAAGAAACAAATGCAACTGCTCATTCAGAGGCTTGCCTTTCCCTGAGGAGCTGTAGCTGAAACCTGTTTGCCAGTTTCATCAGCTCGGTCAGGAACACGTCATCTTCTCTCAGCTCCAGCTCATCTGTATAGATCCAACGCAACATCGCCGTTGTCACGGCCGGGTCAGCATCTGTTGGGAGAGCATGAAGGGGATTATGATTTGGCCTTTAGAGGACCACCAGCATGCACTTACCAAACCACCCCCCAACTGCACACTCAGTACTTATGCACCAGCAACCACACTTCGTATGCTCAAGACATTAGCAACGAACTTGTTTCTGTACTTACAATGTGTGGGGGGGGGAGAGTTCCTGGCATTTCCCTCACTGTAGTAAAGAAATGCAGCATCACACTGCTGCTGTGAGTGCTAGGTGGGCATACAACCCACCCACCCCCGATCTCAGGAACTAGTAAAGGTGGTATTTATAGCTCTGCGGCAACAAGGGTGTTGGCTGCCTGCTCACCCCTAGAAAGGGGAGCTGGTGGGATCACTAATATTAGAAGCTGTTTTCCAAGATGCAGCCAGAGATGTAAGAGGCAAGACGTCAATCATCTGGGGAAGCCCCGACGGCTTCAACGCCCCACCAACCAACAACTAAAACATAGTCAAGAGCAGGTGGCAACCCTAGCGTTCTTCTTCCCCCAGCCCCACATTTCAACTTCAGAAACTGCTTGACACCGAAGTATTCTACTTTCACCTCCACTCCGTTTTCATGGTGCTTAAAATGTGAGGCAAGGGGCCAACAGGGAGACAGGGTTCAAATCCTGTCCACCACCATGAAGTTCAGCTTGGGCCAGTCAACCACCCTCAGCCTAACCTACCTCACAAGCTCATTGCAAGGTAAAAGAGGGCTAGGTAAAGCCATGAATACCACCTTTAAGCTTCTTGGAGAAAGGGAGAGATAAAATCAGCTAAAATGGGTGAGAGAATTACTTTAAAATGGGTGGTCTCCAACTGGCCACTCTCCAATGATAAAAGGCACCTTTTCAGGGAGGGGGGCAGAGAAAGAGGTCATTTTCAGGTATTCCTCCTCCTGGCCCAATTTGTTAAATAAACCCCTCAGTAAAACGCCTAGAGCAGTTTATAAACTAAAATAAACAAATAAAAAGTAGCAGCTAAAAAACAACAACCCGATGTTGAGTTCAGCAGAATGTATAAAACCCCCAATAATTTTCCAATCCCCTATATAAATTGGTATCCGATTTAGCATGTCTGATTTCCTATCTGGTTTGCAATATATGTAGGACACCATCTTTTCCCAATGCCCGGAAGCAGCTGAACTGAACCAATTGATTGGGGGGAGGGAATTCAACGAAGCACATTAGTGCAGTTTAAATGTTATATTCAATTACAGTCATACTTTGGAAGTCGAACGGAATCCATTCCAGAAGTCCATTCGACTTCCAAAACGTTTTCCTGCAGCCAATCGGAAGCCCCATCGGATGTTCAGCTTCCAAAAATAGTTCGCAAACTGGAACAGTCACCTCCAGGTTTGCGGCGTTCGGGAGCCAAAACATTCGAGAAACTAAAAACCAAGGTATGGCTGTACTAAAAAGCTTTCCTTGGACTTAACTTCTAAACATTTTAAAACCTGACAGGTGCCTTAGGATTAACTGGATCTCCTTCTCCAAGAGAGAGAAGTCTGCCCTCAGAGGGAAATCAGGATCCCTATAGCTTCTATGTGAGGCTGCAGAAAGGTCCTGCATCCAGATTATCTCACTAATGCCAGAGTGGGCATTCTGGACCCTCCTATTCTGCCAGCATGACCCTGGGCTGGATGATAAAACTATACCATCGCTGGAGCTGGAATAGTTTATGTCCTTCCCACTTATTTCATTCCCGCCCCCACCCTCACACAAAAAAGATCCAGAACAGGGCACAACACACCTTCTGCCCTCCAAATGCAAGGCCAGGCAGTTTCAACTGGACTAGTGTTGCATGCAATCATCATGTTATGAAACCATGCACTTTTAGACATGGAAACCTTTTCATGGAAAAAACAGAGCAACTGTTTTAATTCTCTTTCTACCCCACATCACCAACGGTCATCCTAATACACAAGCATGGGTGTCCCATGGTGGAAATCTGCCACCTGACAGCAGAGCCACTACAGAGGCAGAGGTGGAGGAGAGACAAGGGATATGGAGACACTGCCACCAGCTCTGCTGAGAAGCCAGGTTCCTCCTACGATCTCCTACCATCCGGCAGTAGCCACAACATCAGGCTGCAGCAGAGGAAGGAAGAGAAGTAACTCAATTCATTAGCCCAGCTGAGAAACCAGTAACTTTTGGTGCCTCCTTTCCCTGAGCTGTTTTCGATCCCAGTGGGTCATCAGAAGATCCCGCAACTACAAATAAATAATGCCTGGGCTTGCGTATTTCCTCCTCTCACCGAATCCATTTTTCCTTTTGTGCTATCGTAAGCCCGAGGGCAGGGGCTGCCTTTAAAAATAAAGTGATCTATAACGCTCTCTTTTTAACACAGCTCATTTTATAATGCAAACTTGAAATTGGCAATATAATTGCTTGTTTAGAATCAACGTCTCTGGCCAGAATTTTCTTTCTCTCTCTCTCTCCATCGCTGCAGGTTTTTAGGGAAGGTATATGCATGGGAGGGAAAGAGAGAAAGGAAGAGAAAGAGGCGCCCAACTGATTAAAGAGCTAATTTCACTAAAGATAAAAGACTGGCGTCTCAACAGTTGCCTTACATGGAATTGCTACACAGGCCGCTCTGACACAGCAACCCTCAAAACAAAAGGAATAACCGGGCTGTTTCAGACGGCTTTGTCTCCCAGCTCTAAGCGGGCTCCCATTCTGTAAGATGAACAGGCCACCACACTTAACATCCACATCATTAAAATGAAAGTGGGATGGGCTACTGATTTAACTAGCATTAAACACAGAGCTCTCAAAGGCCCATTAGCATGTTCTGGAGACAAAGGCTTCATAATTAATGGATCAAGTGCCTCTTTCTGTGGGCGGAGCACCTCCTGAAGGAGAAGACTGCAACCTCCTCTACCAAAGGGGCCTTTCATCTTTTCACTGCTCGCCCAAAGCCAATGAAAGCATCTCTCTCACCCCCCACCCCACCCCAGCCAATCAGAAACCGACCTGACAGATCCAGCTCCTCCGTAGACACCAGGTTGGCCAGGCTCCAAGTCTCGCTGCGAGCTGCCAATACAAATTTGTGAGCGCTGATGCGCCTGTCTCCAACCTTTATCTTCAGGTCACTGGAGAAACACAAGACAAACACACACACACACACACCTGTGCTTAGATGACTTTGCAAACTTCTGCACAACAGCAAGGAAACTTGGGGTATTCTGCCGTAGAGGAGAAAGGCAGAGCAGTGGCGATTATGCGGATTCCCCATGGCACTTTTGCAGGCTTCTTACGGTCCCAAAGAGCCACAAAGAAGCCTTCAGAAAGAAGCAGGGAGTCTGCACGCTTTCTGAACGGGATAGGGAAATGCTGGCTGTGCACAAACAAGGAGGGAAGCTAACCAAGTTAGGCTTGTTTGCTATTCCCAGGCACGCGATTAAGGGGCAAAACGCTCATCTGAGAAGAAAAACGTTAGAAGAATTAGAGCGACATCTCCTCTTCTCTCAGTGATGCACCCACAATGGGCCTGGCCCTTCTAACACCATCAAGGCTGCATCTCAGGCCAATTGTGGCTGCACATCTGGACCTTTTGTATTTAATCTCTTTTTAAAAAAAAAAAACACAATCGGGGAAGCAGCTCTGATCCACCCTGTCCATTTGGGCAGTGCTGGTAACAATTAAAAGGTTCATAGCTAAAGGATTTGCATGCTTGCTCACAGCCATGTGAAGGTTGTTTAAAGCAAGACTGGGGGTGGGGTGGGGTGAGTGGGTAATGTGATGGGGGAATAAGACAGAGATTTATAAATTTATTAATGCTGTAGAGCAAAAGTGGAGAGATAAATTAGGTAACTTAACACCGTGTGTCTAATCAGATTTTAAAAAATAATTATTAAGAGGCTAAAAGGATGCTGCCAATTAAACAAGCACCCATTTTTTTTTTAAAAAAAAAATGTATTTAGTAGAAGTAAAAAGAAAAGAAAAACAGAACCGGAAATGGCAAGCACCACCACATAGGAAGGAATGGCACCCCTTAAGTAACTGCCACAAATGTTAAGAATAATCTTAGAAAAAAGCTGTGCCTTTTGCTTCAGAAATATTATTTTAATCATATGGAAATTTAAACTCACTGTCAAAGTGATGGGCACACATGGCTTAAAAAAGGCATTAGTGGTTGATACATATACAAAAATGATATTTTAAGAATGAATACATTGATACCATATTGGCCAGAATATAAGCCAAACCCGAATATAAGCCACACCTTTAAAATTCAAGGGAGGGAAAGAAAAAAAGACAATATCAAAATATAAGCTGCTCCCTTAAAATTCCGCAGGCACTCACACCCGTTCCATTTTACCGTATGTCTGTTTCAGCAGCGATATCGTAAAAGCCAATTTTTGTAAGGTCACAAATTTAAGTCACACTTTAACTTTTCATGGTCGGAATTTGGAAAAAGAAGTATGGCTTATATTTGGGCCAATATGGTAAGTGCACATTGTTATACACTCAAGTATTCCTGTTTAAGTTGCTGAAACAGAAAACAAAATACAACCAAACAAAACAATCATACCCATAATCTCCAGGTTAGCTTCTATGCATACTGAACACAAATATCCTAACAATATATTATCCATGAGCCCTCGTCAACAGTTGTATGATGCTGGGGCTGATGGGAGCTGTAGTCTAAAACATCTGGAGGGCATCAGATTGATGAAGGTTGCAAAATAGACTCTCCTCAGAAACACAACAAATACTCTATGGCATTTATGCAAGCTTCTATGTTATAGCTACAATAATTAATTAAAAACAACAACAATACTAACTTGCATATTATTTCTTCTCAATAAATTGAATGCATTAAATTGATACCCAGTCCAAACCCTATATAGTCTTTATGTAATACATATAATGTATTGGGACAGGAGGCAAGCTTTCATAGTATTTCCATATCTTTTCTCTTAGTTATGACCGAATATACACCCACCCATGTATTCTACATATATATACACCGTATTTTTCGCTCCATAAGACGCACCTGACCATAATATGCACCTAGTTTTTAGAGGAGGAAAGGGGGAAAGCCCCTTTTTCTGAGGATCAGCTCCAAGTTGTTGAGCAAAGGGGAAAAATCCTGTTTTTATAGGGTTCAACTCACAGTTCTGCACCTTCTTTAGGAAAGGAAAGGGAGTCATTTCTACAGTTTCCAGACATAATCTAATTATCCAGTCACATGTCGCTGGGAAAACCAACAGCCTCCATCTGCAGAACATTCAACAATGGAGGCTGGGGCGAGGGGGCGGGGCCAGAAAGGGAGCCAGTGATTGACCACACATTCCCTCCATAAGACGCACAGACACTTCCCCTTACTTTTTAGGAGGAAAAAAGTGTGTCTTGTGGAGCGAAAAATACGGTGTGTATATATATATCATAGAATTGTAGAGTTGGAAGGGACCACGAGGATCATCCATTCCAACTCGTTGCAGTGCAAGAATATTTTGAGCAACATGGGGTTTGAACCCATGACCCTGAGATTATAAGAGTCTCATGCTCCACCCAATTGAGCTATCCCTCAGGGCAATTGGGGATTAGACCAATTCACAGGTGATGGCTGATAGGTCTATCAAGCAGCATTGGCAGCAACATATTTTTATATATATTTGTACCCCACATTTCTTCTGTCATGGGAGTAATGGAGCATCAAGGTTCAGAGGCAGTCCAGCAATTGAGACTGTTCGCTAGGCTCTGCTTAGGGCCTCTCTGAAGTATTTGCCTGGCCACTTTGTGAAAACCAGATGATGAACTAGATGGCTCTTAAATACGATCCAACAAGGTTCTGTGCATTAAGACGTCTGGTGAGAAAGTGTTTAGGAGCTGAAAATAACTCTTTCTTCGCTAAGTGTTTATCAGAGCTTGGGCTGACAAGGGAGACCCTCAACTGACAAATGACCATCAACCTGGAGGCCTGAAAGGCTGATCCTGCCTTCTGTTTAACCACTGTACTATATTTAAAGTCTTTAAGTGATTTTACCACTACCAGCACCACTACTGCATAATGCAGAACGGTGATCTCGGCATTTCAGCAAACATGAAACACACACAGCTTAGTTCCAAGGAAGAGGTTTGTGAATTAAGAAATTTGGTCTTACACACTAGCTGAAAAGTTATGAGCAACAAGTTATGGGGTGTGTCCCCTTTCTCTTTCCAAAAAACACTGGACACCAAAACAGCGTTAACTTCCAGTTTTGAAGAATAGGAAGTGCTTAGGAAGCAAAGCAAAAGTATATTTGTCCAAGATAAATATTTAACTTCAAACTTCCCAAAAAGAAAAAAGCAAAGTACATTTGTCTGGCTCGGTTTCATTTGCTGGTTTCCCAGCAAAATATGCTGCATTTATGTATTAAGTGAGCAGCAATACTTTAAAGCAACACTGTCTTTACAAGGGCCATTAACTGCAACTCTCAATCCTCCACAAATACATGCTTGGCCTGGAATCAATTATTTTGACACGAGCAAAAGAGTTTGTTTCTAGCTTTACCCTGCAGGAAAACACAGGAAACTCCTTGCTTCCATTCTGTCAAGTTGGAGGATGAGCTTCTGCCTTCTGAAAGATTAGATTAGACTGCATTTCACCCAGTATAAGATCTTGGAACTTTGTTTCTTCCAACGTTCAGAAGCAATCTAATGGCTTCCATGTTACGTGTGTGAACAATATGCCTGCATAGGCAAGCATCCTCTAAAGGTGTTTAAACTATTTTGCTTTCCTGTGCTTAATGCATTGTCCCTGCTTTCTTGCAAATGGCAAACATAGTGTAAAATAGCACAAAGAGATAGGGAAAAGAGGCACAGCGTTTCAGAAGAGACTGTACCCGGTAAAAGCTGAAAGGGTGTTGGTGGAAGTGAAGAATTGGTAATGGATGCAAAAAACGGAAAGGAAGTTAAGCTTATTTGTGTACAAATTTACAGCACTTATGGTTGCAAAACGAGGCTGAGGCCTAAGTGGGTAACCTGATGAAATCTTTAAAAGGCAGAGGCCGGATTCAAATGTCAGAGTCAAACCGTGGCTTGGCAGATGGGGTCATAACTTAAGTTCTGCTTGACACAGCAACAGAACCCAGCCCATGGTTCTGTCTTCACCCCCACACGTTTACCTGTATTGCTCCTGCTCATACAACTCTGCTACGATGGCAAGCAGCCGACTGATGAAGGAGTCACTGGCACTCTCCTTGTTAGACTGAGCGGCCAAGAGAGTGCATTTCCTCTCCGTCTCAGTCAGCTTCTTCTGCAACTTGACATATTCCTGACGGAGAAGCATCAGATGTTTTTCCAGTTTGGCCACCTCTTCTGCAAAGACAACGGAACGAAATTCAAAACATGGGGCAAAAGCCTACTGGCACCTCACAGAAGCCACTCCATCAGGCTGCAGAGCACAGGGAGAGGAGGGAAGCAGGCCTTTTCCGTCTTCTCTACGAAGAGAAGTGCTACCTTTGGCTCTCCCTCAACTCACACAGTGGCAGTCATTCCAACAGGCTTCATGAATTGCTTCAGTCCCAGCTGACTGTTATAAGATCTGTAAGACTGGTGTCTGAGTTTGCCTTCCTGCCTCTTTACTCATTCCTCCTCATCCTTTTTTAATCGTGTCACGTCTCTTAGATATTGAGTCTGAAGGGAAGGAATTACTGGTGTGTGTTTTTTGTAAGCTAAAGCGTGGGGTAGTAAAAAAGGTAAAGCGACCCTTGACCATTAGGTCCAGTCGTGGCTGACTCTGGGGTTGCAGCGCTCATCTCGCTTTATTGGCCGAGGGAGCTGGCGTACAGCTTCCAGGTCATGTGGCCAGCATGACTAAGCCACTTCTGGCGAACCAGAGCAGTGCACGGAAATGCCGTTTACCTTCCCGCCTGAGCGGTACCTATTTATCTACTTGCACTGTGACGTGCTTTCGAACTGCTAGGTTGGCAGGAGCAGGGACCGAGCAACGGGAGCTCACCCCGTCACGGGGATTCGAACCGCCAACCTTCTGATCGGCAAGTCCTAGGCTCTGTGGTTTAACCCACAGCGCCCCCCGCATAAATAGCTGAGTAGTGTAGCACATGCTTTGCAACCAAAAGAATCTATGGTCCTATCTATCTCTGCCTCATGTACCAGGCCTGGGAAGACTCTTGGCAGTCTAAGGAGACAGTATTGGCCTAGATGGACCAATTGTCTGGCTCAGTACAAGACAGCTTCAAAGGGACAGAGCCAGCATAGCCAATGCAGTGCCTCCTGGAAGTTGCGGACTCCAACTCCCATGAGCCCCAGCCAGCACAGCAAATGGTCAGGAATGATGAGAATTGTAGTCCAACAACAACTGGAGGGTACCACACTGGATGGTCTATGCCAGGAATAACCAAACTGGGAGATGCCCTCAAGTTTGTCCCTTTGCATGCAGTTCTGTAGGGAATTAGTTTGTGACAAACATTCATTTTTATTCCATCAAACACAGAGGAGCTTTCTGAGAATGCACGCGATTGCACCATTAGTCATTTCACTGTATGATTGTTCATCAGTACATTCTCTCTGCGGCGCCCAATTTTAAAAAGATGCTGGACTATTTTAAAAAAGGTTTTGTGTGTATAAGCCTTGAGATAAAAGGTAAGGACAATGACAGGCAAGGCTTTCTGAAGATGCAGAGTTCTACAATAGACATGCTGCTAAAGATCACAGAGCACTTGAGCACTAAAGCATCAGCAGAGGATCCACCTGCTGCTCCCACAAATAACTACATTTCCAAAAGCAGAAACTTCAGAAAGAACTACAGTATGCCAACAATACTCCTGCCTGGTGTGAAGATTCCTTCCCACCTTGTGCTGGAAATACAAATCTCCACCTCCACCCACCCCCGGTGAAAAGGAACAAGGCCAGCCCAGCAAAGAATAGGCACATTTTTGGTGGTGTCAGTCCTTCAGATTCTAAAAATCCCAGAAATGCATTCCCTGAAGTGACCAATCCTAATCCCTAATCAGACTAAAATCAATTTTAAGAGCTTCACGCTTAAGACATACTTTGACAAAGAGATTTGCTCAAGTCAAAACTTTTGGAATACCTTTTGGAAGTACTGGAACTCTGGCTTGTTGGGACCTCAGGTAAATTAAGAGCGAAAGGATTAAAAAAAAAAACACTAGCCGCAGCTAAATGGTAGAATACACACTCTGCATACAAAATCCCCCAATTTTGAGTCGTTAGATGTTTCTGGACCACAGCCAGCATCATCCTCAGTCAGCATGTCCAGTGGTTAAGGATTATGGGAAATGCGGTCCAACATCATTTGGGGACTCAAGGATGGGGAAGGCTGCTCCAAGAACATAGGGGCCCTGCTGGCTCAGACCAGCGATGCATCCGATCCAGCATTACATTCTCACAGTCACAAGCAGGAGATGTGTGGAACAGCAGTCTCCCAGTAATGACCCCCAACAACTGGTATTTAAAGGTATATGAACAATGATACTGGAGGTAATATATAACCACCATGACTAGCAGCCACTGATAGTATTAATCCTCCCCATACATTTGACTTAACACCATTTTAAAGCCATCTGAGTTGGCAGCCATGCCTTGTGGGAGCAAATTCCATAGTGCAACCATGTGCAGTGAAAAGACACACCTCCTTTTGTCTATCTTGATTCTTCCAGCGTTCAGTTCATTGTATGAGCCTGGGATCTAGTATTATGGGAGAGAGAGGGAGAACCTCTCTCTGTCCACTTTCTCTATGCCACCCATAACTTCATACAGCTCAGTCATGCTGCCATCACAATTTGTCCCTAAAGAGACCCAAACAGTTTCCCTGGCATCTCTGGGGATCTCAGGTAGGAAGCCTAAGGAACGTCTGGGCTTTTATACTTGATACCCTTCAGAACGAGCAATGATAAAGGAAGTCTGAGGCTATAGGCTGCACTCCAACAACCCTCATAGTGGGGGAGGTGTATGCCAAGTTATTGTATCAATACGCTGCATCTGATGACATTAAAGAGGCTTTCTTCATTGATCTTTATGCTGTCAAATCCACCAAGAATGACTAATTGTTTCCATTAAGTACCAGCCAGCAAGATTTGCTAAAAAGCCAGATATGTGGCATTAACTGTGCTTTGATACGCTGCTAGCAAATGCATCAAGGCTTGGCTAAGATCACCATTCACATTTTACACTGGTTGTAGATATAAAGAACTGACATCGCAAAGTAGGTGTACGTTAACAAAGAAATTCTGAATCATCTAACACAATCCTTACGAATCTAGTCCAAGACTCTGGTAGTATACTTATTCCATACCAAGCATTTATTCTTAGAAAGGAGGTTACCAATATTTTAAAGGCAACTGCAATTTGAAAAGTTACACCAGAATCGAGGTTATACCTGGAGCAGGGAACCAGGTGTGCAAGAAAGGCTTGCTGAGCAGTTGAGAACTGTGTGTCATGAGTCCCAAAGAGCCATTGTGGAGGGGCTGGTTGGACGGGGACGGGGGGCGCAGCTGGAGGAGCTGCTTGCAAACAACCCTGGGAAGGGGCCCAGTGGTTTGGAACAGACTGCATCAGGGCCATGAGTGAAAGGAGATGCTCCAATAGTCAGTTATTGATGAGGAGTTGGATCCTGGGTAGGAAGGGGGTGTTCCTGTGGTACAGCCTCCCAGTATGCCACTCTGAACTCTGTACCCACTCCCCAGGGTCATCAAGAGGCAATCCCTGCACCCTGTTCTGGTTTGACCAGCCCCTACATGATGTCTCCTTAGATCTCAGGATCCTGTGCAGGCTCCAGCAAGGTATGTTTAACAGTCAAAGGAACTCTACAAAGGATGCACATGGGCAGGGACTCCCTATTCAATACATACTGGTGAGCAGTGACTCCATGCATGGTCCTTAAGCATGCTGGAACAGCTGCCTTCCATATTAACTACTGCACTTGGCCACAATCAAATCATTTAGTTTCATGCTGTTTATTGTGTGTGCATGTTTTAATGAAGTTCAATCTTAATTCTCAGCAACCTTGAAAGGATACATTTCCTGGAAGGCAGAATATGAATAATTGTAACAAACAAAATGAGCCAAGCAAACTCAACCACAACTCTTCCCAGGGGTCCTTCAGTTTGGACTGAAAAAGAGAGAATGAAGTCTTGCAATCTGAATACTGCCACTATATTATCCGGTTATTCTGAGTGTGGTGCTGATAATGCCAAGGTTGCAGGTTCGATCCCTATATGGGACAGCTGCATATTTCTGCGTTGCAGGGGGTTGATTCTAAGGGTCCCTTCCAACTCTACAATTCTATATAGAATTTACCTTTCATAGTTAAGAAGGCCAAAAGCTTTACAAGAAAATCACACACCATCACTTTAAGGCAGTGAAGGGTACCAGTATTGATCAGGGAACTTTCACTGAATAATGCATAGTTAGGCATTGCATGGAATGCTTTCATCTGCAGCAGAGCATTCAGTGTCTCTGGATATATTCAGAGCAGGTTGTGGTTGCTTCTAGTAGAAACCAACTAATTAGCTGGCCAGCAGATAAACCATTTGTTAAAGCAAGGGTTGGGGAACCTGTAGAGCTGTAGACGTTCTTGGACTCCAGCTTCCATATGCCCAGCCAGTATGGCCAATGGTCAGGGATTGGTAGCTACCAAGTTGGAGAAGGCTGGTCTAAACCATCAGCTTGACTGCAACTATTAAAGGTAAAGGTAAAGGGACCCCTGACCGTTAGGTCCAGGGTTGCGGTGCTCATCTCGCTTTACTGGCCGAGGGAGCCGGCGTACAGCTTCCGGGTCATGTGGCCAGCATGACTAAGCTGCTTCTGGCAAACCAGAGCAGCACACGGAAACGCCGTTTACCTTCCTGCTGGAGCGGTACCTATTTATCTACTTGCACTTTGTGCTTTCGAACTGCTAGGTTGGCAGGAGCAGGGACCGAGAAACGGGAACTTACCTCGTTGCGGGGTTTCAAACCGCCAACCTTCTGATTGGCAAGCCCTAGGCTCTGTTGTTTAACCCACAGCGCCACCCACATTTAGGGCAATGCTAAAGTTTATCTCCTTCTATTTGAGGACTTTTGCAATAGATCTCTAGATGTCCAGATGGGATTTTTCCAGCCTGGTTGATATTCAAAGATGACACATACAGTTCTTCAGTGACACAGACTGAGGATGGAATGTTAAAACAACCCCTGTTTAACTTAAAAAAGCATGTTTTAATGGCTCAATCAACTAAAGAACTGAAGCCTTCTTTTGAATATAGCTGGTGCAAATGGCTAGTGTTTTTACCAGAGGACTTACCGTATTTTTCGCACCATAGGACGCACCGGACAATAGGACGCACCTTGTTTAAG